ACTGAGACTGGAGGAACCCCAGAAAGCATGGCCCCTGGATTCTCTATCAGCCCAGAAATAAAACAGTTTCCAAGGCCAACTCTTCCGACAGGGATTGGACTGGATTGTGGGACATAAAGTGATACTCATGAGAAGTGTGTCTCTTAGCTCAAGTAGATACAAGACACTAAATGGGCAGCTTCTTTCTAGAGGTGAGACAGGAAGGCAGAGAGGGTTAGGAGCTGGTTGAATGGATATGCGGAATCAGGGGTGGAAAGGAGGAGTGTGCTGTCACAGTATGGGGAGAGCAATTAGGGTCACAGAACAACGTATGTATAAATTTTCGTATGGGAGACTAACTTGAAATTGAAACTTCATTTAAACTACAACAATAAAAAATTTTTTTAAAAAAAGTAAAAGAAAAATAATTCTGGCTACAAGAAAGAATTCAGAAATCAGAGATTTTCAGAAACTGAGAGAGTATTATATTTATCCAGGGATGTGACCTAAATGCTAGCTTAACAACTAAACCTAAATGCTGGTTAACAACTAAGAACATTTGGCCCTAACACGCTGAGGCAGCATCAAACATGTGTGCCTCACTAGAGATGGCTATCACATTCACAAAACTCTATACCATGGGAGAGCAAACATGGAGAAACCCCAATCCCAATCTCCTTCTTTATTTGATCTTCTCTGAGCTAATACCTGCTAGAATGTTCTCTTTCTTCTAAAATCCCCTTCTCTAAAGTTTCTAATTCCAGCACACCACCACCACCACCACTAGCTGCTGCTGAGTTGATTCCAACTCATGGTGACCACACGTGTCAGAGTAGAACTATGTGCCACAGGGTTTTCAATGGCTAATTTTTTGGAAGTAAATCACTATGCCTTTCTTCCAAGGTACCTCTGGATGATCTCGAACCTCCAATCTTTTGGTTAGCAGCTGAGCGCGTTAATCGTCTGCACCACCCAGGAACTTTGATTCCAGCACAGATCCCCGAATCTTAAACATTTTAATCAATGTTCTCTCCAAACACCATGTACTAATACTTTCTCCCATATTATCCTGCCTCCTTTGCTCTACCTCTACTACAGTTCAGTGTTATAGCTAGTGAATGGATATATAAATAAATACCTGGCATTACCACAATCCTGTCTTTTGCCTGGAAAAAAAAAAAAAAGTAAATTTTAATATCCTTCTCTTAAATGGGATAATAAGGCAGTGAGAACAGAAACATGAGTCAAAGTATATTAAATTTAAAAAATTACTACTAATGTCTAATTTTCAATAGATTTCTATTTCTTTGGAATCTTGAGCAAGCAAGATATACAATATAGTAGCTCTTTCTATCTAGAAAGTTTATTATATTACTTTAAAGACCTGTATTGTTATAACGCAAACAGAAGAATCCAATATAAATGCTAGATAATCACACCACCTTCAGAAAAGTCATTACTGAAATATGACACTAATTAAATTCTGAGTTCTTGGTATGGAATAGAATGGAAGTAGTTCAATTTAAATAAGGATTTCCCTGAAAAGAAAGAGCATAAGCCTAATTCTAAATAAACAGGTGACTGAAAAAAAAATCCACTCAAATCCTGTATGCTCAACTGTATTTCCCCTATGTCATCATACCAAGTAAACAAAGCCATAGGTCCATTTAACTGGTTTTTAAGTAATAAAACTAGACTATATAAAGTTATTTAATTTCTGATAATTCTGGAAGATAAATACTGTAATTTCTTCTATTAAAATTTTAATTCAAAATTTCATTTCTTAAGTAATTTTTGGTACTATACTCAGTATCACTGAAAGTCAAAAGGAAATCATCCCATTATAAAATAGATACTTGGTGGAACTAACAGAAAGCAAGTAGGTAACAATGACAGAATAAAAACTACATATTATGTGAAGCTCACTAATTTGTAGAATAAAATCAATCAAGTTATACATAAATTGAATTTTTTCACATATGCTTTCCCTGAAATGAATTTTTAATGCTGGATCAGCCAATCCTGCCACTCATCACAATTCCAAGTTGTTTGCCTCAACTGTTCAGCCTGTGTATGTATTCAGGGTTGCATACAGAATCTTTCTTACTTGAGCGCTATTGAAGTACAGCAAAAATCAGATCAAGAATCACACACAGCTTAGTTTCTTTTTCCATAAAAAAATGAAACATTCAATTAATGTATTCAGTAAATACAATAAACGCTGAAAAAGATACTTAGTTCTACATCATGTCCAGTTAGGATAAATGAAAAAATGGAAAGATTGGCTTAGTGTGGGGAGGAGAAAATGGGGGAAAAAAGAGAGGTACAGTATACAAGGTGGGAAGAGAGGAAAAGAAGAAAGGATGGAAGAAGGTAGAAGGGAACAGAAACAGAAAGACGGGAATAAAGCAAAAACTAGCTAACATCAGAAATAACAAACGCAAAGAAGGGAAGAGAAGTAGAAAGTCTTAAAAGCAATGACAGAAAAAAAGCAGTGAAAAGGGAAGGTGGCAACAGTAGGCAAGGAAAGGTCATGAGCAGAGGAAGAAACAGCTCTCCCCTCTACTGTTAAAATAAGTTATAGATACTTTAATGTGCTCTAAGTAACTATTACTGTAAAGTTAAGGTGAGCATTCAATATGATTCTTTGTTGAGGATCTTTACGTAATAGCAACAAACTCTATAAAACTGGTTGCCATCAAGTCAATTTCGACTCATAGCGACCCAAAAGGACAGAGTAGAACGGCCCCATAGGGTTTCTGAGGAGCAGCTGGTGGATCTGAACTGTTGACCTTTTAGTTAGCTGCCGAGGTCTTAACCACTGCATCACCAGGTCCCCTGGCCATGAACTCTATCATAGCTACAAAAAAGATAGATAATTGGAGAAGCCATCCTGCAAAAAAGGATTCTTTTTTAGTTAAAAAAAAAGGATAAGAAATAATAATATGCTGATGCAAAAGGGAAACAGAGATCAATAAATGACTCAAAAAGAGTAGTCATACAGAAATTGATGGATTGCTATTGGTTTAGTTGCATACTATATCAAGGTGTAAAAAAATCTTTTTGTAGAGTATAAGTCAACAACACAATCACATTCTCCACTGAGCAAAATTAGAACCCCCCCCACGCCAGACTAGTAATTAAGTAACAGGGACTTAATAAAATGATCAAAAGTGACCTCAAATGACAACTTCTGCACATTCGTCACTGAAAAGACATACTATTTTTCATGTAAGCTGAGTTATATGTCATTTTGGAATGGCAGCTCCAAAGTTACCCAAAAAAGAATATATATATTCTGTGAAAAAATCTGTAGACTATCATTTTGTAGATATTTCAGAGAACCCTCTTCTGAACAATTTTTTAACCCTCACCAAACTCATTTATCATGAAAGTGTTTATCAAATGCCCTTTACTGAGTACCTACCATGTACCAGACAGTTATAGGTATGGGGAATATTGTAGTGAATAAGACAAAAGTTCCCACTCTCATGGAGCTTACACATTCAAACAAAAAAGACAACAGACAAGTATATTTATATAATAAAATTTCAAGTAGCAGTAAGTACAATGAAGAAAAAATAAAGTAAGGTAATGAAATAGAGAGTGAAAGGGAGAAGAGGCAATTTCAGATAATTTAATAATTGTTAGAGAAATGGAACAAGGCTAAACTTAGTAGTCTCAAATGTACTAAAACAAAGCATCAATTTAAAAAAATATTCACTATCTAGAAAGCTGAAATGATTTTAGAAGAAGTGTCACATTTACCTGTTTCTTACCAAATGAAAGCTTTCCAAAACATGGACAAATGATATTTTTTATTAGATAAATTCTATCACTTTTTTTGGCCTTCCATAAAAGATTATTTAGAACTACATGCTTAGCTAAGGCTATCAAAGCAATCAATATAAAGCACTTAATGAGTGTCAGACATTGTGCTATTATCAGAACTAATTATAGTAGTTAGGTGCTATTATTATCCTGACTTTGTAGATGAAGAAACTGAGGTTTAAGATGGTTAGGTACTCTGCCCTACATTTCTGGTAATAAATGGTAAAGCCAGGATTTAAACCAGGCCTAATCCCAAAGCCTGTGATTTTAACCAGTATATTATACTGGTAAGTAATTACTTCAAGAAGTAATGTTAATGTATGAGAATATTGAACCAAGCTCTTCCTGCCAACCAACGATTAACCTACAAATCACTCACTTGCATATTATGAAATGTAATACAATACTATGGCAATTATATCTAACCTATTCTCTACTCTGTAGTGAGCACCCTTTTTAAAATGGAAGACTGATTCATCAGCTTTTCTATTTTAAAACCCTTCAGGCTTCCCCACTGAGGATAAAATACAAACTGTTTAACAAGGTTTTCAAGGCTCTGGATATCATTCTTCACACACACACACACACACAGACACACACACAGACACACACACACACACACCCACCCACCCACCCACCCACCCTTGGTCACCACCATAGTACAAATGCCCTGTACATAATATATGCACTTAATAAATATTTATAAAATTAGTGAATCCCAAACTAGCAAAGCCACATCAGATCCTTAAGCAAACTTTCTGAAAATTATTTTCATGGCTATAGAGACGTGGAAATAAAATGATTTTCAGATAATTAAAATGATTTTCAGATAATGAGATGTCTACATAGAATAAATAATATTATTAATAATAGCAACAATAATAATATAAACTGATGTGTATTAAGATCTACATGCCAAGCACTGGTGCTATTGTCTTTTACATATCTTATGTCTACCAACCCTTAGAGCAAATGCATAAAGGAGTTATTAAAATTTTCTCAATTTCACACATGAAGAAACAGGCTTAAAGGTTAAGTAACCTACTCAATATCATACAGCAAGTAAGTGTTAAATCTGAGTCTCAAACCCAGAACTCTATAATCTTAAAGCCCATACTGTAGATCATAATTTAGAATGCCTCTGCACTGGTGTCAAAGAAACACAGACATACTAAGCCAACCTCTGACTGCTCTACAAATGGTACTAACTTACTAGGGGACAAGAGAAAAATATATTTCCTTCTATTTGATAGATAAAGAGAGATAAAAGGAGAAGAATACAATTTTAGTTTTGGAATGTACCTCCAAATAATAATTATCTCAAATTTTTTATGGGATCCTGATTGTACATAGGCTGAAGTGTGAAGACGTGGCTTAAAACTATGCATACTAAATAGCAGAGAAAAGGTAAAATTTGCTGTGGTTACTAAGTTAGGTCAGATCCTTAGGCACTATCTATACACACTCTCCTTACTTATCAACCTGTTAGGTTCCAAAGACCAGGTCGTTACATGAAATCAGTGTTATGTGAAAACGGAGGATGACTAAATTATTACATAACTACCAAATTACATCATTATATAACTGCCAAACCACAGAGAATCATGGCCCAGTCAGGTTTACACATGACCTTAACCATCACAGCCAGCATTACTCCCGCCTCACACTTCTGCATTCGTTACTGCCAGACATACATTGTTAACGTGTAAAACAGTCAGATAATAGATTTTTTACTATTGTCGTAAATGCGATATGTCAGATAAAGAGACAGTTGGTAAGTGAGAAGAAGGTATAATCTGAAGAGCCTTGGTTACTAAAAAGCACTCATGTGAAAGAAGTAAGGATTATATAACTGTATTACTGCTTGCTTTTTCCTATAGAGTAATCATAAAGTCAGTAATTATTTTCACAACCTAGCTGAACAACAGAATGTCAGGAGTAACTACAACAGAGTCTTAGGAAGTAGTGTGTACCTGATCTATGAGTCGCTTTATTAGGGGTAGCCCCTCTAGTGCCGAACTGTCACATCCACTGGTCAATACTCGTTCGAATCCCAAAGTTAAGAGTGTCTCCAGAGCTGCCACTGGATCATGAACCATGTCAAAGGCTGAAAGAAATAAAATTAATTTGAATTTTGAACAAATATCCTGTAATGCAGTGTTCTCTAAAATGTAGTACACATACAGTGGTGCGCTAGACCTGGGTTATATTGTTAAATATTCAGAAACTTTGCAAGCCAGCTGTTAATCTATTGGTAGCTTGAAATCAGTCAAGGTGGAGTATTTATACCACAGAAATCAGCAAATGCCACAAATCCAGGTTCTTTTTTTCCAAGAGCCATCTTACTAGCACACCACAGTCTGCATACCATCATACACGTGATCATTTTAGATGGTACACATTTTAACAGATGTAATTTATTTACACGCATATTAGAAATAAAAATTTTCCAATTTTCAGTATTTATAAGCTTCTCTTTAAAATAAATTTACTTACAATTTTATTTAAAGAAAATTAACTCACATAGGTACCACTCATGTATGGTAAAATTGTACATGTGATATGTAAATGACTCAGATTTGGGAAATTTGCTCTAAGGCTTCAGGCAACTAGATTAAGTAGAATGAAACGTAACATTTATTAGTTCTAGAAAAGGCCTTGGTTTCCATTCTCATTATAGACTAATATTTTATACTAATCCATTTACTCTATATACTCAAGGCTCATAGTATAAGGACAATTGTTTACAACAGACTATACGAGGTTTCAATTCCATCCTCCTTTCTAAGAGACCTTTCCCCTCCTCAGAAACATCAGAGAGGACGGCAGCACCAGGAACCCCAAAGCAGAAAAACTACTTCTACTTTGGTTTGGTTCTCAGCACTTCTACGTGACATGGAAGTTCTAATCCATGGTTAGACTGGATAGGTGCTAGTGGTCCTCTGGGATAGACCCTTTCCTTTCACCCTTCAGTGCATCCAGGCGGCCAAATCTACTTCAGAGGATTTTCCTTATTGGATGGCAGCACCTTCTTATCAATCATTATACTATCCGGCTCTCTCATTTAACATATGAGCAAAAAAAAAAAAACAAAGTGGAACCCAGGACAATGTAAAACTGCTATACATTTTGGAAACATTAAAATATTTTTGTTAAACTTACTGGAAGAAAAAGAAAAGAACTTAGTTTCTGTTCTTAGTTTAAGAACAGAAAAATATATTCTGTATGACTGTTGTTAGGTGTCGTCGAGTCAGTTCCGACTCATAGCGACCTATGTACGACAGAACTAGTTTACTTTTTGAATAATTAGTGTGCCAAATTTTAAACTATGTATTTTTTAGACAAATGCTTACTAATTTAAATTACTTCCATGTTTAAAAACTTTTGAGGGATGGACTAGCACCTCAAGGTGCTGGCTTTTAAGCAATCTAACGTATTTTATTTATTGCTAGTTTAAACAGTAAGTCAAAGGAAACAGTTTTCTGGTAATGTCATTTATTATATAAAGAAACAAGAGAAACAAATATGCTTTATCTCTAACATATATAAATGAATGGAAATGCTGGTGACCACTCTTATCCTAATCTTTGAATGTTTATTCAAAAGGACAGAAGAACATTCAGTACCTTCTCAAGCATATCATGAAGCTAAAAAGATAAATTCACTAAACATTTCTTTCTTTTCATGTGCAATGGCAATGCCTTCTGAAGGCAAAACTGAATCTTGTTCCTCTATTTTACCAAAACTTGGTCTAAGTAGATGGGAATTTACCTGATTTGCAGATAGGAAGCATCTTTTTTATGTGAAACTATCAGATATTTTTTAGAAATCACTTTGAGGCAGAGTAGCTATCAATAACAAAAAGGAGTTATGTGCATTATAGTGGACATCTGTTTATTATCTATCCAGCATGTATCTCTTCTTTCCCCCTTCCTAGTAGTATCCAATTTTTTTCAGGTATTTCAGGCACCCTCAGGAAGTCCATATTCATCTGGGAAAGTTGACCTTACTCCTAGCTCCAGGAATGACTTTGTCTGGCTTAAGCCAGTCAGCACATTCCATTCCACTGGCTTATTTCTTTTGGGGTTGCACATAGCCTAAGGCAATCTACTTAAAATGAATCTCAGGATTCTTGCTTGGAAAGCTGTGACAGGTATGTGCACTTGGAGACTTGCTTACTCTCTCCCTATTATATCATACCCCGCAATATCTACTTTCAACAACTTTTCATAACTAAGGCTTCAAAATTTCTAGAAATTGTACATCCCTAAATTCACAATTTTTTGTCCCAAGATCAATATAAAGAAACTAACTAGTAACACTGTAAATCTACAGAACTTTGTTCCATAAAAGTTTGTAGCATTTTGAGAAATTAGAAAACTGACACTGTACAACAGAACTTCTAAAATGGAAATGACTCACCGCGGTGGAAAGTGACTGGCAGAGGACGGCAAATAGCTATTAAAAGAAAGTCAGAGAACAACATGAAGAGATTATCACTGACTATTATACACAGATCGTGGGAGGAATATGTGGCAGTCTGTTTCTGTAGAGATTTACAGCCTTGAAAAAAATCCTATGGGGCCACTACAAGTCAGAATAGACTTGAGGGGCAATGGGTTTGTCTTTTTTTTATATACAGAATTCTCCATGCTAGGTAGGACTTTCTTTTTTAATAGTTTCCTCTCCTAAGAAGTGAAGACAGTGAACTAAAATAATAATAAAATGGCATTCTTACAAAGTCAAAAGTTCTATCTTTCCACTAATCTCTGATTTCCATATAAAAAACTGGTTATCCACACCTTAGGGGCACAATATAAAAAGCATATGATCTGACAACTACAAGTACAGCATTAAATCTATTACTTACTCCCTGAGAATCTTCAAGAAAGATTTTGGCCTACTAATACAGGTAGTTTGCTTGTCTTCTCCCCATCTCCTTACCCTCACCAACTATAATACCTTTTGAAGTTTTTCGTGTAGTGGTTAAAGGAATCAAGATAAACCTCCATTAGACCCTACAGGAACATAGCAGAACCTGAACTACAGAAACTGAGGAGAGTTCGGAGGGCTATGCCACATATACCCTCCAGCCCAAACACCTAAATCACTACTGTTTAAAGTGGTTAGGCTAGTTTAAGTGCCTACAGGTGTAACTGAAAAGTCAGTTTTGTGATCACGTTTTTCCACATTGGGTATATAAATTCAGTCATTATTAGAGACTCTGGTCTCAGATACAAAATTCTTACCCACAAGGGACATGCACAGCTCTTTGTCAATGTGTCCATCTTCAGTCAATGCTCCGAATACCAAACCATCAGCACCATACAGCTTGGCAAGACGAATGTCAGTCTTCATCACCTCAATTTCACGATCCGAATATAAGAAATCACCTCCTCGGGGCCGAATCATCACAAAAACTGGGATCTGGACACACTGCTTCACTACTTGAAGGACACCTACAAGAACAGAGAGCAGACTAATTAAAATTCAAATGTGAGCTAAAAATTCAAAGAAGTCAATAAAATATTATTGGTCTTTTAGATTTGCTCTTGTGTATCACTTCCAAAAGAAATGGAAGAAATGACTGAAGAAATCACAAGAAACATGGGTCTAAAGGAAGGAGGGCACTGAGAAGAAAAATGTGTACATGGTGAAAGTTAATAAGGAAGCCACAGGTGAAAAACAGCAACTTGGAAAACAGAAGGGAGATACTGCACTTTAAAAGCACTTGTTAGTTGACTCAATAAAAACCGTATGACTCCAAATTCTTTGACTAGCATGTGATATCTGAAAGTGTAATAACTCTCAGGCTCAATCTTCCGCCAGTGCATTCCCTAAGATCCAGTTTCTGCTTTGTAATTGATTGTAGCTCTATTTCAAACCTACTATGGGGCCCTGGTGGCACAGTGGTTACGTGCTACAGCTGCTAAACAAAAAGCCAGCAGTTCGAATCTACCAAATGCTCCCCGAAACCCTATGGGACAGTTCTACTCTGTCTTATAGGGTCGCTATGAGTCGGAATCGACTCAATGGCAACAGGTTTGGGGTTTTTTCTTTTGTATAGAGATGGTTGGTGCCTAAGTAGTGCCAGCGGTGTGTGATTGGGTGCTAACCTAACGGCTGGCAATTTGAACCCACCCAGCCACTCTGCAGAAGAAAGGTCTGGAGATCTACTTCCGTAAAGATCACAGCCAAGAAAACCCTGTGGAGCGGTTCTACTCTGTAAAACATGGGGTTGCCATGAGTAAGAATCGACTCAGTGGAAACGGGTTTGTTTCAGTTTTACAGAGATGGTTAAAATGTTTCAAAGTATGACCCTTAAGTGGACAAAGAAATTTAGCATAGACTTTTTTTTGAAAGATATGTAAAAGGAAGCAAAGTTCTACTTATTTGTGATTTTATACAGGAATCTATCAATAAAAGTACCTAAATATGACACAATTTGTGGCTAGCTCAGAAACTTTCGATAATTTAAGATCTGTGGCAAGCACTATTAGCTGTTTACCCAACGTGAATTTCTTCTTTGTTGGTAAACGAACCCAAATATTGCATGGGGTAGCAGTAATCCCAGCACAAAGCAATGAATCATGATTGCTGTTGCAAAAAACAAACTGCACTATTTACTGATATCTTTTAGAGATTTTAGAATGGCCATGGAATGTCCTCCTTTAGTGAGAAGATTCCAAAAGGCTGCTGTATACATAAACCTTTATACCAAATAATGTTATCATCAATCTCAGAGTAGCATATCTTAGGAATCAAAAATTCAGAGAGGGATTTCTGCTTTTGGCCAAGACAGACTAACAGAGATCAGATTTACCCTCCTGCCTATAAGAACCCAAAATGGGCAATATGTATGAAACAATGATTTGGAAGACACTGGACATCATGCAACCAAGGACAGTGATTCTTGAAAGATGGAAAACAAATGAGGTGAACCCTATGGCTGACTCAGGTAACAGCCTTGAGAGTTTCCAGGTCACAGTGCAGGGAGGTGGAACCCAGATGGGGCACAGAGAAATCTCTGGGTTGAGGAGATAGAGCTGAGATTCCAGGCAGACCAAGGTGGCTAGAGTTTACAGGACAGAGTACCATGAAGGAGAGAAAGAGAACTCTAAAGATCTGCAAAGAGCCTCCCTTGAATATTCAGCTAAGTACTGATGAGTGCATGCATGCAAGGTAACTACACGGGCCAGGGAAACAACTACTGAACAGGATTAGACGTAACAGTGTCTGACATCCACAACGGGATGGGAATAATGCCTGTTCCCACAAGTCAGACAGAAAAATCTCAAGATTCATGGGACATCAGGTAGAGTAAATAGAAGTGTCTTGCCTCAGCGGCAGGGAACAATTAGCTCTAGACTGAGCACTGTTTCAGACTTCCCTAACAAATCTTAAAAGACCCAAAAGGACTGAATGTTTCCAACTAACCTAACTGTATCCCCGAATATAGCTCAAGAATATTTATAGGGAGACAAAAAAATCTAGTAGCCAACAAAGTAAAAGTCACAATGCCTGGCATCAAAAAATTACCAGTCAGGAAAATATGATGTATCATGAGGCAATAAATCAATCAAGAAAACCAACCCAGAATTGATACAGATATTAGAATTAGCAGACAAGATCATTAAAACAGCTATTATAACTTTATTCCATATGTTAAAAAGTTAAGAAGAGACATGGGAGCTATATATTTTTTTTAAAAAAAAAGACAAATCAAACTTCTAGAGATGAAAACTACAATGTGTGAGATGAAAAAATACTAGATGTCATTAACAGCAGGTTAGACATTGCAGAATAAAAGATTAGTAAACTTGAAAAACACAGTAATAGAGACTGTCCAAAATAAACACAGAGAAAAGGCACTGGCAGGGGATAGGGGGGAGCAGCTCATCAGTAAGTTGTGAAACGTCAAACAGCCTAATATAAATGAAGCTGAAGTCACTGAGGGAGGGAGGAGGAGACAGAAGAAATATTTGAATGTTGAAAATCTTCCAAATTTGATGAAAATAAATGCACACATCCAAAAAATATTAGGAAAACCACATCCAGGTACACCAAAATCACATTGCTCACAGGAACTCTCATTCATTTCTGACAGGGATGTGAAATGGTACAGCCACTTTGGAAGACAGTCTGGCAGTTTCTTACAAAGCTAAACACAGACTTACGATTCGATCCACCAATTGCACTCCTAGGTATTTATGCAAATGAGATTAAAACATATGTTTACATAAACACCAGTATACGAACGCAGCTTTATTCATAATTGCCAAAAATTGGAAGAAACCAAGATGTCCTTCAATAGGTGAACGGATAAAATGAGCAAACAAACTGTGATACATCCATACCAAAACCCAAAAAAACCAAACCCGTTGCCATCGAGTCGATTCCGACTCATAGCAACCCTACAGGACAGAGCAGAACTGCCCCATAGGGCTTCGAAGGAGCACCTCGTGGATTCAAACTGCCAACCTTTTGGTTAGCAGTTGTAGTGCTTACCCACTACGCCACTAGGGTTTCCATACATCCATACAATGGAGTATTATTCAGTAAAAGGAAGAAATGAGCTATCAAGCCAGAAAAGACATGGAGGAACCTTAAATGCATACTGCTAAATGAAGGAAGCCAGTCAGAAAAAGCTTCATACTATATGATTACAGCCATATGACATTCTGGAAAAGGCAAAACTATAGAGAGTGAAAAGATCAGTGGTTGCCAGGGGGCCAGGGAAGGGATGATTAGGTAGAGCACAGGGCAATTTTTGGGCAGTGAAACTACTGTGTGACACTGTAATGGTGAACATACGACATTAATCATTTGTCAATACCCAAAGAGTGAACCCCAAGGTAAACTATGGACTTTAGTTAACAATAATGTATCAATATTGGTTCATCAACTGTAACAAATGTACCACAGGAACGCAAGATGTTAATAAGAGAAACAATGTGCAAGGAGGAGGGCATAAATGGGAACTCTATTTTCTTCACAATATTTCTGTAAACATAAAACTGCTCTAAAAAATAAAGTCTGTTTAAAAAAAAAATCACATTGCTCAAAACCAGGAATAAAAACAAAATCTTAAAAGTGACCAGAGAAAAGAGATACATTACGTTAAGAAGAAAGGCATGGATAATAGCATATTTCTTTTTGAAAACAATGTAAGCAAGAAGATAATGGAAAAACATCTTTAAAATATGAAAAGAAAAAAAACTGTCAACCTAGTCAGCAAAAATATCTTTAAAAAAATGAAGGAGAAATACAGATGTTTTCAGACATACAACAGTTGAAAGAATTCATCACCAGCACACCTGGACTACAAAAAATGCTAAAGGAAGTACTTCCAGCCCAGAAGATAAAACCAGATAGACATATGCATCTACAAGAAGGAATGAAGAGCATCACAAAGAGTCACTACATGGGGGTGTGTGTGTGTGTGTGTGTGTGTGTGCGTGTGTGTCTGTGTGTGTGTGTGTATATATGTTTTCCTGGAGCCCTGGTGGCACAGTGTGTATGTTTTCCTGGAGCCCTGGTGGCACAGTGGTGAAGAGCTTGGCTGCTAACCAAAAGGTCAGCAGTTCGAATCCACTAGCTGCTCCTTGGAAACCATATGGGGCAGTTCTACTCTGTCCTATAGGGTCGCTATGAGTCTGAACTGACCTGACCACAACAGGTTCAGTTTTGGCTTTTTATATGTTTTCTTATAGTTTAAGTCACATTAAGAGATAATTCACTCTTTAAATAAAAATAACAAAGTACTGTGGGGTTTATAACACATGTAGAAGTGAAATGTATGACAACAATAGCACAAAGACAAGGAGGGGAGAAATAAAGACAAAAGTCAACATACCAAGGATGCCAGAATGGAAAGATTAAAAAAAAACAAAAAAAAGCCTGGGTCTTTGATATTAACCCAGAGCAGATGAACCGATGTTAACAGCAACTACCTACCTCTGAACAAATTCTTAGGAGAATGCTGTGAAAAACGGACACTTACCCATGCTGGGTGTGGTTCCTCCCTCCAACAGACCAGAACATAATTCAATTCGACCAGCACCTGTGATAAAAGCATTGCTCAAAAATTATTTGTCCAAAATAAGCTCTTATTAAATAGCAAACTCTTTACATTTTTTTCCCAAATACAGAACAAACAGTCTTAGAAATTGTCTGAAATAAAATTACAAAATTAACCCAACTATACTCTGCAATCCACATTGTTACTGAGAGCCAGGCTTATTAAAGAGTTAATTCAAGCTAAGCTAAACCAAAACCAAACCAAACTCACTGCCACCTAGTTGATTCCGAGTCATATCGACCCTACAGGACAGGCAGAACTGCCCCATAGGGTTTCCACGGCTGGAAATCTTTATGGGAGCAGATTGCCAAATCTTTCTGCCATGAAGCAGCTGGTGGATTCGAACAGCCAACCTTTTGGTTAGCAGCTGAGCACTTTAACCACTGTGCCACCGGTGTTGTTGCTATTGTTAGGTGCTGTCGAGTCGGTCCCAATCTTACGTACAACAGAATGAAACAGTGCCTGGTCTGTGCCATCCTCACAGTCATTGTTATGCTTGAGCCCATTGTTGCAGAAACTGTGTCAATCCATGTCATCGAGGGTCTTCCTCTTTTTCACTGACCCTCTACTTTACCAAGCATGATGTCCTCCTCCAGAGACTGATCCCTCCTAATAACACGTCTAAAGTATGTGAGACATAGTCTCACCATCCTTGCTTCTAAGAAGCATTCTGGTAAGCCCCTTAAAATTTGCCTCTCCATCCATAGAGACGCAACTTAGAATAAAAGAGAAGTTTCAGGATTGACCATAGTGGATCTCTGACTCTTTGTTGATAAGAAAATACATAATCCGTCCCCAGGGAGTCTTTATTATTCTAAGTTTTAAGAAAAAGGCAAGTTACTTTTTTAAAAAATTTTATTTAGTTATTGTTGATAACAAAATATACACCAATTCAATAGCTTCTACATGTATCATTTAGTAACACTGATTACATTCTTTGAGTTGTGCAACGATTCTCACCCTCCTTTTCTGACTTGTTCCTCCCCATTAACATAAATTCACTGCCCCCTAAGGTTCCCATCTAATCTTTTGAGTTGCTGTTAGCAGTTTGATCACCTATAGACAGTTCTTAAAAGAACACAATGCTCAAGGCAGACATTTTTTTACTTGTTAAGCTAAACTACAGTTTGGTTTTAAGAATTCAAGGGATATTTTTGGCTTAAGGTTTAAAGATTATCTCAGTGCAACAGTTTCAGGGGTTCACCAACCTTCACGGCTCCAGGAAGTCTGCAGTCTATGAGAATTTGAAATTCTGTTCTGCATATTCTCCCTCCTGATTAGGATTCTTCTATGGAATCTTTGATCAAAATGTTCAGTAATGGTAGCCAGGCACCATCCAGTTCTTCTGGTTTCATGGCAAAGTAGGCAGTTGTTTATGGAGGCAATTAGCCACACATTCCATATCCTTCTATTCCTGACTCTCCTTCTTCCACTGTTTGCACAAGGTGAACAGAGACCAATTGTTGTGCCTTGGATGGCCACTTGCAAGCTTTTAAGATCCCAGGCACCATGCAAGTTACTTTTGTGTAGCTTCAATCAAGACCATTACAAGAATAAGAAAATACTAGGAGCAAAATAACTATCAGACTACTTGGGTCATGTCAAAAGTTTTTAGGAACCAACTTGAAGAGGCTTCTACTGGCCAAAGATGAAACATGTGAGCATCAATAAAAAGAATAACTACAATGGATTAAAACACATGAAATATGTCTTTGCATCAAATATGCTATTTGCTTCAAAATAATCTGGGGTTGAGGGCAGTAAAAGTAGGAATATAGATCAGGGGTCAGCAAACTGGCCAGGAGGCCAAAGGCCTACCCACACCTTGTTTTCACTGTGGCCTGAAACCTAAGAATTTTTTTTTTTATTAACAGCTTTATTGAGATATAATTCACGTACCATATAATTCACTCAAAGTGTACAATTTAATGGTTTTTATTATATCAACAGAGTTGTGCAACCAACACCACCACAACTGATTATGCCATCAATTTTAGACAATTTTCATCAACTCAAAAAGAAACCCTGCACCCTTTAGCAGTGACCTCCCCTTTTCCCCATGCCCCTCACACCTAGGCAATCACTAACGTACTTTCTGTTGCCATAAATTTGCCTAGTCTTCACATTTCATATAAATGGAATCATACAATATTCAGTATTCTGTGACGGATCTATTTGACTTAGCATAATGTTTTCAGGTTCATTCATGCTGTAGCATGTTATCAGTACTTCATTCCTTTTTATTGCCAAATTAAGAATGGTTTTTACATTTTTTTAAAGGATTTTTAAAAAAAAAAAAGACAACAAAGACCATATGTGGACAGCAAAACCGAAAATATATACTATCTGGCTCTTTACAGAAAGTTTGATGATCCCTGATATAGAAGAATCAAGATTGGCCATATGTTGAAAATGACTGAAGCTAAGTGGTAAGTATATGGGGGTTCATTGTACTATTCTCTCTACATTTTTATATACTTGAAAATTTTAACAATAAAAAGCTAAAAAAAAAAAATCCTGATCCTGAGATAAGGAAATTTCCATGCTTCCTATCAAAGCAAGTTCAGAGTGTATTATGGACTGAATTGTGTCCCCCCAAAATACGTGTTGTAAATCCTAACCTCTATGCCTGTGCTTATAATCCCATTTAGGAACGAGCTATCTTTGTTATGTTAATTAGACAGGATTAATGTAGGGTGTGTCTTAAATCAAGTAAACTAGGAAGCAGAGATCAGGAAAGAGATGTCAAGCCACATGAAGATCACCCACGAGCAGAAGCTAAAAAAGACAACGACCTTCCTCCAGAGCCAACACAGACAGAAAGCCTTCTTCTAGACCCAGCACCCTGAATTTGAACTTCTAGCCTTCCAAACTGTAAGAAAATAAATTTCTGTTGTTAAAGCTACCATTTGTGGTATTTCTATTACAGCAGCACTAGGCAACTAATACAGAGGGCAAAAGAAACAAAGATTAATAAAAGAATAATGTTTAAAAATACATATATATAATGTAAAAGGGCTGATGAAAATGCAACAAATCTCTGAAATCTTTATATCAATGGTTTGAAAATTGAATCTTTGCTAAGTTCAATAAAAAATGAAATTAGTGATTAAGATCACTATTGTGGACACTTGACTCAAAATGTAATCCACTTGGGGGTAAGACTAGTAGATCATTATTTTCCAGTACGTTTTCTAGTTGCCTGTTTGGTTTTGAAAGGGTTCCTAAGATCTGTGGCGATCACAAAGGCTCTCAAGGTCACTTCAAAGGATTCATTTTAAGACTCCTAAAAAGGGTTGCCAATTGTCACTCATTCTCTAATTTCTCTTACCTCCTCTTTCTGCATTCACAGCTGACTCCACTGAATCAACACACACTTCCATAAGAAATCCACTTTCTGCTCCTAAAATAGAGAACAGCATAAATTCATGAAGGCACTATCCATCCAGAACAATTTAACATAGTTTACATTTTGCTGCCAAAATCCAAATGTCCAATAGCAGGAAAGCAGGTAAGCACACTAGAACCCATAAATGCAATGAAATACCATGTTCAATTTTAAACTCATGACTGTTTTAAATAGGTATAGACATATAGATAAAAAATATTGAGGAAAATATACACTGAATGCTAACTCAATCTTCCTAAACTGAGGCCTCCTCATCACATTCTAGCTCAGATTCCTTCAATGCTTCTCAATGCCTGCCAAATATGTTTAAATTTCTTTGTAAGGAATGTGTTTAAGAGCAGGGACTGAGTTCAAAGCCAGACCCTACCACTTATTTATCGTGTGAACCTAGACAAGTTAATTAACCTAAGCCTCAGTTTTCTATAAAATAAGGTAGGTTTTTATACCTTCCTCAAAGTAGTGAGAATTACATGAGATAATTCATATGAAGTACATAGCACCTACTAAGTATTCAAAAAGTATTAGTCGTTATCACTAATAAACAACACATTATTTCCTGTATACGCTTCCAGTTTCCCCCAACTGCCACCCCTGCTCTTGTTAATGCTACTTCCTCAGCCCACAAAGTCCTTCCAGCTCCATCTTTGAATGTTAAAATCTTCCAAGGCTCACTTCAAATCACATTCCCATGATTTTCCCTCTCCCCCGAAGTAAGAAATTACATCTCCCTCTTTTGAACTCATATAACTCTTTATGAATTAAATGTTCCTCTTTAAAACACTAATTGTTCCTCTTTAATACATAAATTACTTTCTACCTTTTATTATCGTTTATGTAGATAGCTGTCTGATCACTTATACTTGACCTAAAGTTCCTAAACTTTTTATATGAGAAATCTGTATCATTATCTACAGCAAGCACAGTGTCTACCAAGGTATACAACAGTCATTCAAATATTTACTAATGGCTAAATAATTACAAATTCATTTTTAAAAAGTCACATATTTACACTAAAAAGTGTGCTGTAAATGGAGTTTTGAATTTTTCATAAGTTAAGCACATGGTTTTTTAAAAATTAAGAATACTGAACACATACTTGCACGCAATATACCTGAAAGGATGTTCAGCATGTACTAATAGTGGTTATTACTGAGTGGTGGGATTTGGAAGTTCTTTTACTTCTTTTTTATATTTTTCTGTGTAGCTTGAATTTTTCTACCCAGTATTTTTATAATAAAAAAAAAATTTTTAATTTGAAAAACAAAACAAAAACTTACCATCCACTAGTGTCAGACTGCAACTCATTTATTTAAAAGACAATCAGTCCCCAAAACTGTGAAAGATTTAAGTGCCACTCTATGGTCTTAACCAACAGCACTGCATGACTGCATGAATTTCCTGATACCCACCCCAGCTGTCAGGTCAATCTAACTGGACAATGCTGCAGGGGCACCATTTGCCTCACAAGAAAGGACCCTGGCCAGGAAATGGTGGAGATGTACACAAAAGGCTAAGACAGAAGGCAGAGGAAGCCAGTTGTCCCAAGAAAAGCAAAGTTACTTTAGACGTCAAACTTGGAGAAGACATTTGTTTGAAGCAGTTCTCAAGATGTGGTAGTCCAATTAGCTTTTTGGGGTCTCCAAGACCGTTTCAGAACATCTGTGGAGTCGAGATTATTTTCATAATAATAAACCAAACCCATTGCTGTACAGTCAATTCCGACTCATGGTAACCCCACGTGTTACTGAGCAGAACTGCTCCATGAGATTTTCTTGGCTGTCATCTTCACCAAAGCAGATGACCAGGAGCTAGGCCTTCAAATAGCCAACCTTTAGACTAGCAGCTGAGTGCAAACCACTTGTGCCACCCAGGGGCCTTCATAATAATACTAAGACTTTGTTTGCCTTTTTCACCCCCATTTTCTCACAAGTGTAGAGTGGCAATTTCAGGAGGCTACCTGACGTGTCAGATTGAACGTAGAAACAAATATGAGAATCCGGCTGTCTTCCACTAAGCTAGATATTAAAGACATTTGCAGAAACCATTGCCACTCTCTCTTCTCACTTTTTAAATTTTGTTTTGGAAAATATATTTATTTATTTTATTTATATGGGGTTTACCGTGTTATTTTCTAATGAATTAATATTTTTTAGATTCCTGAGTTTTAATTTCTAATACAATAGATATAACCCATATAAATAAAAGATTTGAGGTCCTCAATAAATTTTAGGAGGTTAAAGTAGTTCTGAGATCAAAGAGTTTGGGAATCGCTAGTTTGGAGGAACCAAAAGTTCACCAAGGAGGAAGAGGGATTTGTCAAATTCCCTCTCAACTGCCATCCTATTCTGGCACGGCAGGTAGAACTCGGGGCTTGGAGTAACCACAAGCTCCGCCACTTGGTAGCTATGTGGCTCTGGGGACAACTCCCACCCCCGTCGCAGAAGCGATCACCATGGGTTAGGCACTGCGCTCAGCGCTTAACATTTAACTATCACAACGATGCGGCAGTAAGGCGTGCACTGGTATCAAGTGGCGACGAGAAAGTGAGGCTGAGAGAAGTTAAGCAATGGGAACGAGTCGCACTACAATACGTGGTGGCGTCAGGATTCGAACCCACAACATCTGGCTCTAGAGCGGCAGGCCACTGCCGCTACACGCCCCTTCTCAGGGCCTTCGTTTCCTTCGTTTGGAGCTGGAACGCAGCTGAGGAAACTGCGGGAAATCCACAGGCCAAGACCCTAGCCAGCCCACCTCAGCGAGCTGAGTCCGCCGACCGCCCCCTCCCCCGCCACTTTCCGCACCGGCCTTCCCGGACGGTATCCGCGCGGGTTTCCGCTGCGAGGACGCCCTCTGCCTCTTCATGCCGACGCGCTGCTTCCTTGTCTGTCGTTAATTTCCACTTAGGCTGAGCTTCGGTGCGCGCGACCCACGAAGCGCGTCCTCAAAGGCTGCGCGCGACCCTGCACGTCCCCGACTCCCACGCCCCAGCAGTCCCCGCGAATGCTGAGTCCCCGCGCAGGCGCAGTCACTGCTCCTACCGGTCGCGGCCTCTAGAGGACGGGGGAAGGGGCAGTGATCCCTAGCTCTGCGTGACCTGGAAGTGCTTCTACCTTCGGTGGCGGGGAAGGGAGACCACAGAGCGCTAGGGTGTGGAGGTGGCGTCCGTACACTGCCCTCAGCATGCAGCGGTTGCTCTTGCCGCCCTTGAAGGCCTTGACAGGGAGCCCATGTCTTCGGTTCCTGGTTCTTAGGGCGGCGCCTGGAGCACAGGTACCGCACTGCTGGGGACTCAGAGTCGCGCAAGTGGGGATGGGGTGAAAGGGTCAGGAAAAAGATAATAGATAGTCCCATATCATATTTCTGTGGCTTCTTACAGTTTATAAAGATTTTCTTGTGTCCAGAGCCCTTGGTTCGGATCTGACCCTAACTCTATCTATGTGATCTTGGCCAAGTTACTTTTCTGCGCCTCAGTTTCCTCATCTGTATAATGGAAATAACAATACCTACTTCATGAAGTTGTTGAGAGGATTAAATAATTTAATATAGAAAGACACATACACATCCAGCGCTTAGCACAAAGAAAGAGCTCAATGATTTTTACCTGTATAAGTTGATTTTTGCTAAAAGCCCCCCAGGTAGTCAGGGTAGGGACTGTAACCCCCATGCTACAGAGAAGTAAATTGAGGCTTAATTTAACTGACGTCTAAAGTTACTCGGTTAATTAGAAGCAGAACAGGAAACAGAACAGGGTCTGTGGACTCGAATAGAGCCAAAACGGTGTGTATTCATTCAACTACTAATTATTGAGTGATTATTATGGGTTAGGAACTGGGAACAGAAAGATAAATACAACAAGCTTCCTCTCATGGAGAAGATCACAGTTCATTCATTTATTAATTCATTTGTCAAGTCTTTAATAAAGGCTTGTTAGGTTGAGGGCACTGGGCTAGAAACAAAGATTGCAGGAGGAAAAGAGCCAGACTGACCAGACCCTCCCATCTCAGAGCTGATAGCTTAGTGGGAAATAGAGACAGGTGAACCTGAAGGTATATCACAATGTGTTAAGGACTCTTATAGATAATGTATAGTGTGCTATGGGAGGGCATTGACGGCACCCAGTGCAGACTTGGGAGCATCTGGGAGCACTTCCCAGAGGAGGTGACATATAAGCTGAGATCTACAGTAGAATTCTCAGTCAAGGGACAAGGAGTGTTCCAGTCAGAGACACCATGTTTAAAGACCTAGAGAAGAAAGAAAACCCATATTTTGAGTGTAAAATCTGGGGTAAATATGCAGAGACTGGAAGGTTCACTGTCTAGTGTGGGAATGGATTGAAGTGAGGCAAGACAGAAGCAGGGAAACCAGTTGGGAGGTGCATACAGTAATCCTGATAAGAGATGATGTTTTACCAGGGAGATAGTGGGGGAGATGTGGCCAGACAGGGTACTCCAGACAGAGTGGGTAAGTGGGGGTAGCAACAGAGTGAGGCCTTCCCCTTCTCCAGTTGTAATGTGTCTGTCTTGATCCTTAGTGTGGTTGCAGCTGGGGGATCAGGCGCCCTTTGAGGCCAGGCCAATACAGCAGCATCTCTGAAGTAGCTTTGCAGTCTGGGAAGGGTAAGGTGTCCCTTCCATCAAAGGCTGCTGAGCGGGTGGTGGGCCGATGGCTTCTGATCTGCAGTGGAACAGTGGCTGGAGCAGTTATTCTTGGTGGAGTCACTAGGTGAGTAATCACCAGGAAGTTGCTGTTTGCATCATGAGTAGAATCATAGGATCCCGAGGGAGACGGGACCTTAGAGATCATCTACTCTAGCTCCCACATTTTATAGATGGGGAAACTCATGGAAATCCTGATGGCATAGTGGTTAAGTGCTGCGTCCGCTAACCAAAAGGTCGGCAGCTCAGATCCACCAGGCACTCCTTGGAAACTATGGGGCAGTTCTACTCTGTCCTATAGGGTCGCTATGAGTTGGAATCGACTCGACAGCAGTGTGCTTGGCTTTTTTTTTTTTTTTTGGTTTTTATACCTGTGGTAGTGTTTAACATGTCCCGTTTACCCCTGTATTCCTTGTAAACTGGTAGTTGCTTGATCAAATTCAGATTGGGGGAGGAGGGTAAAAATACTTCATAGGTGATGGTGTTTAGAACATTAGAACATTCATAATGTCTAGTGAATGTATATTAGAGATTTCAACAGCCATTGATGACCATCGCCTAGGCCCATTATTTCATTTTATTGTTAGTTGCTGTCGAGTTGGCTCCAGCTCGTGGTGACCCCATGTACAACAGAATGAAACCGCCCAGTGCTGCACCATCTTCATGATCATTGATATGCTGATTCCGTTGTTGTGGCCACTGTGTATTTTGAATGCCTTCCTTTACCCCTAAGGGGCTTATCTTCCAGCACTATAGCATACAGTATTCTGTTGTGATCCATAGGGTTTTCATTGACTGATTTTTGGAAGTAGATTGTCAGATCTTTCTTCCTAGTCTCTCTCGGTTTGGAAACTCCACTGAAACCTGTCCACCATGGGTGACCCTACTGTTACTTGAAACACCAGTGGCATAGCTTCCAGCATCATAGCAACATACAACCTACCACAGTGTGACAGACTGACAAATGGGTGGTAGATTATTTCATTAGAGTTTCAAAATTGTAATATTTAAATTTTATTAGCTCAACTCTAAAGAGAAAGTTTCCCCATATCAAAACTATTTGGTACAGTTTGTATAGGAAAGGCAGAATAAAATACTTGATTCTTTTCCATTATTTACCAGTTTTCAAAATAATAAATTAATTCCCTCCAATCTGGGCCCCTAAAAGGTGACCTTTAAGGTGTTTGTGTTTTTAAATATCATTATTCGCCTTCCATGTGGGAAACCGGGTTCAGTTCTTGGCCAGTACACCTCATGTGCAGTCAGCACTGTCTGTTGGGGGCTTGCTTGTTGCTGTGATGCTGAACTGGTTTCAGCAGAGCTTCCAGAATAAGATGGACCAAGAAGAAAGGCTTGGTGATCTATTTCTGAAAATCAATCAGTGAAAACCCTATGGATCTCATTCCGTTGTACATAGGGTTGCCAACTTGACAGCAACTAGCAACAATCTGATTTAAACATATTTGATGTGTTTAAATCATTGCAGTGATGGTGGTGATGATGATGATGATGATGATTTGCTCAAATTGTTTCATTTTTAGTCAGTGGGAGCCTTTTCAAGTTGGCTTCTGAGTCTTTTTGATAGGACCCCGGTAACCTTTGATAGCTTCCTTGCTTTCTGGTACAGTAAGGGGTCTCAGGCTCATTTTATACATTTCTTGCTCGGGCCTAAAATGAGCCTTTTATTTTAGGAGCCCTAGCTCTTTTTGGTGAAAATACTTTTGGTTTTAATACAGTACATGTTCCTCAGATTCTCTCCCCAGTTCCTGTACCGCTTATTTCTTTAAGGTTCTTTCAAAATATCTTTTTGTGTGTTTTGTAGACTGTTACGGAAAAATGTAACAAATTTGAGTTTTATTGTTTTTAAATTCACTCAAGAACCTAAACTTTTTTATGTTTGTAACAAATCTTTTTTCCTTGTGTGAAGAATGTTGGTTATGCATTTAGGAAACATTCCTTTGGTCTAAAGGTTGATTATACCTGTCAGGGAATGTTAGTGAGAGAAGGAAGTGGGGAGAGTGTAAGGACAGGATTGCGATAATAAGAGAGTAAAGAAATTTGGACGTGATGGCAGCTGTTTTGACAAAATTCTCAGCAGTAAGAAGAGAGCATAGTGTCAAAAGAAGAAACAATGAAACGATGTATTTGCCTTTGCGGGGGTTAAGTTCAGATCCGGTTATCACTGTAAACCATTTGTTAGTTAACCAGTATCATACATACACACTCCAAAATTTCTTTCCCATCCTAAGGTTGACAGAGTCTGGCCTCTCGATGGTAGATTGGCATTTAATAAAGGAGATGAAGCCTCCTACAAGCCAAGAGGAATGGGAAGCAGAATTCCAAAAATACCAGCAATTTCCAGAATTTAAAATGTGAGTATTAGAGGAAATTAGGTAAACATCCCATCAGACCAGCTCAGTCTTTTACGGTTTAAATATTCCAGAATGGTTGGTGGTTAGTGTCGTGGATTGAATTGTGTCCCCCAACAATATCTGTCAACCTGGCTAGGCCATGATTCCCAGTATTATGTGATCGTCTACCATTTTGTGCTCTGATATGATTTTCCTATGTGTTGTAAATCCTGTCTCTATAATATTATTGAGAGGGAATTAGCCACAGTTATGTTGATAAGGCAGGACTCAATCTACAAGATTAAGTTGTGTCTTGGGCGAATCTCTTTTGAGATATGGGGGAGAGAGGCAAGCAGAGGGACAGGGGGACCTCAGACCAACAAGAAAGCAGCGCCAGGAGCAGAGCACGTCCTTGGGCCTGGGGTTCCTACATGGAGAAGCTCCTTGACCAAGGGAAGATTGATGACAAGGACCTTCCCCCAGAGCATATATAGAGAGAAAGCCTTCTCCTGGAGCTGGTGCCCTGAATTTAGACTAGTAGCCTACTAGATTGTGAGAGAATAAATTTATCTTTGTTAAAGCCATCCACTTGTGGTATTTCTGTTATAGCAGCACTAGATAACTAAGACAGATTCCTTTATTCCTTAACATTTGGTTTGGTTATGTTTAGTGAGCTCCCCACTCTAAACCCCAATTCCAAAGTGATACTGAGGTCACTGATGAGGAACAGAGCAAATTTACCAAACTGTATGACCAAGAATGTTCCTGCATCCCATAGGGAAATAAAAATTAAATAGATGTTTCCTCTTTCTTCTTTTTTGACTCCCCTTTTCACCCAGCTTGAATCATGATATGACATTGGCAGAATTCAAGTTCATCTGGTACATGGAATACTCACACCGAATGTGGGGGCGCCTTGTAGGCCTGGCGTACATCTTGCCTGCTGCTTACTTTTGGAGAAAGGGCTGGCTCAGCCGTGGCATGAAAGGACGTGTTCTTGCTCTCTGTGGCTTAGTCTGCTTCCAGGTGAGAATTACCCAGTGTTGGGAACCCAGAGGTACTCTGTGTAGCTTCGTGGTTGGCCTTGTTTTTAAGGAATTAATCTTTGAGGCTGCATAATAGAGTGGGGGAAGAGTATGGATTTTACTGTCACAGGCCTGGCTTCGAGGCCAGCTCTGCCACTTAATTTGTAAGCTATAATTTCTTTACCTGTAAATGGGGGTAATAATAGTGCCTACCATTTAGGGTCTGTGAATATTAAACAAGATAGTGCATATAAAGCACTTAGTTTAGTGCCTGGAATCTAGTCAGCACTCAATAAATATATTTTCATGTGCCACAAGAACTAGATTATCTTTCCCATCGTGCTCTCCTGCTGAGCTCTCATCTCCTCCCTTTTTCTGACTTGCCTGCTGTATAGGGAAGTGGGTCCCTATGCTAGAATGGCTACAGAAGCAAACAGGAAAATTTCAAAACAGGAACATTTTGTGGAATGAAGGAGCTTAGAACACAGATGTAGTTAAGACATATTCAGGTATCAGTGATGATTAAACTCATAAGTTGAACTCCTCTTAAGGAAAAGGGCTTTGAAAGACTCCCACATTTAATGGGTTAGGTGAGGCAGAGCCAAGAAAAGGAATATGAAAGAAGACACATAGAAGCATTTGGGTCAAGGGGTAGAGGTCCTAGCGTAAGGCTGCAAAGTATAAGACATCAAAGAAACATCATCAAAATTTGATCAGGAGGAAGCTAATTGGTTAATTTAACTCAGAATATGAGCCAGTTAAAAGGGACTAAGGAGGAAGATGGAAGAAAAGAAATGGAAGCAATAGAAACAGATAGCAAAGAGTTAGATGTTAATAAAAGCCTGATAGTAACTAAAGGAGTCCCTAGGTGGCACAAACGGTTAAGTGCTCAGCTACTAAACAAAAGGTTGACAGTTTAAACCCACCCAGAGGCACCTTGGAAGAAAAGGCTGGTGATCTGCTTCTGAAAGGTCACAGCCATGAAAACCCTATGGAGCACGGTTCTTCTCTGAAACACTTGGGGTCACTGTGAATTGGAATCCACTTGATGACAACTGGTTAATAGTAACTAGGGGAGGGTAGGTGGAATAAAATGAAGGTTTATTTTAGAATAAAATAAAAAACAAACCACTAAAGACAGACTCCCAGAGAGGCAGAAATTGAAAATGGCAGATAGGGCTACAGAAGGAAAAATGCTGGGGCTGATGAATCACATGGCATATTCCTTCACCTTTCAGTGTTCTGTGTGGATGAAATCAAGACGTTTAGAACATCCAGGGTAATGTTGAAAGGGGGAAGAAATGCCCAAAAAGATTTCCTGAAGAGTATATATTTTGTGCACTTTTCTATATTTGGATTATACTTCAGTAAAAAGCTAATCTACGTGTAGAAATGTGGATAGGAATACTGGGGATATAGGAGGGTATGGAAAGGAGGGGTTGGGTAGGGAGTTACTACTAATAACTTGCTTCCCCAGAGTGTAAAGTTGAGCAGACAATTTCAACCTTCTTTTATTTGCCTCTTTTCTTTTCGGTTCTAGGGTCTGTTGGGATGGTATATGGTGAAAAGCGGATTGGAAGAAAAACCAGACTCTTATGACATCCCTCGAGTCAGTCAGTACCGCCTGGCTGCACACCTGGGATCAGCCCTTGTTCTTTATTGCGCCAGCTTGTGGACCTCGCTCTCACTGCTGCTCCCTCAGCACAAGGTAAAAGTCAGCCTGTGTATTGTTACCGTGGCTGCAGAGCTGCTGATGGCATCAAGGAAATGGAAATTCTGGTTGTAATGGGAAGGTATAAGTCAAATCGCAGGGATTCTCTTAAGTAGCATCTGTCAATTTACAGAAACTAGTCATAACCAAAGTTTAGAGAAATACTGAACTTTGGTTTTCTGGATAAGTTGGGAATGCAAAGAAAAATGTGCAATTATCCTATTGAGCTGGGGCAGCTCATTCAAAGAATTAATATAGGAGCTGAATGTTTTGTCAGCATTGTCTGTTAAGGAAGGTGAAGGCACAGATTTAAGGAAAAAAATGTGAAGGAGTCCCAACAACCGCTTTAATTCTGACTCTCAAAAGGGAAGGTGAATAGGAGGCAAGAAAGTATACAAGAGCCATGTTTTACTTTTTCTTTAGATGGGGACCTCTAAATATATAGACGTACACAAAATGCATACTCTTCGGGAAATCTTTTTGGGCATTTCTTTCCCCCCTTCAGGATTCCCCTGGATGTTCTCATCATAGTGAACCTGCATGATCTTGTCTACAAGTATTTTTTCTGTACGCTGAGTAAAGGAGAATCTTTGCTGCCTCTTGTAGTTCCTGCAGTCCAGTTCATCTAAGTGATTGTCTTTCTTATTTAGTTGCCTGAAACTCGTCAGCTCTTACGGTTGAGACGATTTGCTCACGGAACAGCAGGCTTAGTGTTCCTTACAGCGCTCTCAGGTAGGACTCTTCTCATCAGAGATGGCCTGTTTCTCATTCCATCCTAAGTTTCTTGTCTGATGGATTGCCCCTTCCTCCTGCATCCTGCGTTTTCATGTCACACCTGCCTCTCTCATACTCGCCATCTTCGCCCTCTGTTCTCTATTCCTTCCTCCCTTCTAAAAATTCTAATTTCCAGTCAATGAACAAAAATATTGAACATCTACCTGGATCCAGACTATCTTGGTTCATATCTTGGGTTCACCGCCTAGGAACTATACAATCTGTATAACTGCTCTGGGCCTTGATGACCTTATCTGTAAAATGGAGATGATGGTAATAGTATGAGTAATATATGTGAAGTGCTTAAAACAGTACCTGGCATGTAGCAAAAACTAAGTGTTAGCTGTTATTGTTATGAAACATTATTGTTGTTACATTACACCCAAATGTGTCAGATGAAAGACCTGCCCTCAAAGGTGGTCTAAGGTGGAGAGTTCTGCAGGACAGAAAGACCAGCATAGGTCTTTCTTATTCTTTAAACCACACCTCAACCTCGACCTCTCTTACTTTAGAACTGTGCCATCTCTAGCCTCATGTAACCACTAGCCTCATGTGGCTATTTAAATTAAATAAAATTTAAAATTTAGTTCCTCAGTCACACTAACCACATTTATGGTGCTCAATAGCTACATGTGGTTAGTGGCCACCGTATTAGGCAGCAGAGAGAGAGAACATTCCAACATTGTAGTGTCTTGGAGTACTGTTTTACGTAGGATCATCTGGGATGATCTGTATGAAAAGGTGACATTTGAATGGAGACCTAAGGAAGTGAAGGAGTAGATTGTGCAGATTATTTGGAGAAACAGTATTTCTGGAATATATCAGTAGTTCTTAGTAGGGTGTGAGAGAGGCATCAGAGTCACTAAGGGAGTTTTTCCAAACTAATACGTCCGTCCCTCCAGAGCTCATCCACTCCTCTAAAGGAGGCATGCCAGAGTCTTGGGGTGGGGTAAGTGTGGATGCAAACTTTGTTGTTTTTTTAAGTTCCCATAATGACTGTGCTATAAATTCCCTATTTGAGAATCCCGGCCATAGATCTTTCTATTATCCCACGACTATTCCTTTTGTCTAACTCTAGGATAATCAGCTTTTTCTGTCAAAACTAGTACGTGGTCTCTTCTCTCTCTTATTTTAGTAAATACCATTTATCTTGGAATATAGGAGCTTTTGTAGCAGGGCTGGATGCTGGACTTGTTTACAACTCCTTTCCCAAAATGGGAGAGTCCTGGATCCCAGAGGATGTCTTTACCTTCTCCCCCATCCTGAGGAATGTTTTTGAGAATCCCACCATGGTGCAGTTTGATCACCGTGTTCTGGTAAGTCTGGCTGGTGGTTACTTTACTAAGTAGGGGGCAGGGGGCTTCCACAGGCTTTGGAGTGTCAGTGAAGCACCACTGGCAGAGAGAGAGAAGGTAGAGTGGGAACTATATTCCCTTTTCTTCTTGGAGGAAATCCTAGTAACAGTTCTCTGACCTGATGTTTTTGTCCTAATTACTCACATCCCCTCCAGCCGAAATCTGGCTTTCAGGATACTGCCAGCTTCCTAAGTTCTAGTATGCCTTTTACCACCCTGGCAAGTGATAACCACCCTCAATCCTGTATACACACAGGAGAATCTTTTCAGCAGAACTTAGGTACAAAGAGAGTGCAAAGACAGTGGTTGCTAAGCACATAGCTGTCAGAAGTGAACCAGAATCCCAAGGAGCCAGGAGCATCATACATTTCATTTCTTTTCAGCTAATATTTATTAAGGGCCTGTTAGGGCCATGTTAAGATTGGCTTGGCAGGGAAAGATTGGATTGATTGGGCATGATAGACTGGAGCAGGAAAAGCTCAGCAGCGAGGAGACTGGTGAGAAGCAATAGTGGTAATGCAGGTGCAGTGGTGGGGGCCAAGGCTACATGGTGGGAGTGGGACTTGAGAAGAATGGTGAGGCAGAGAGGTTTTCAAGGAGTAAAGGGTTAATAAGATTGGCTGTTAGGAATAAAAGCAAAGAAAGGTCAGTGGAGATCCAAACTTCTTTCTGTGGCATGCTTCAAACACAACCAATGTGGTCTGGGTGGTTTTAGTTGGAGAATTCATATGTAAAAATATATGGAGCTGTACACTTCAGATTCTTTCACTGTGTTGTATATAAGTTAAACCTCAACTAAAAAGTTTTTAAAAAAGAGAAAGATCCACAGAAATGGTACTATTGGAATGAGTGTTGAGCTAAAGATAGAAGGATGTCATCAAATTGAGGCATGTTGAGTGTGAGGTGATGCAAGTACATCCCAAGAGAGAAGTCCGGAGGACTCAGATATCTGAAGGGAATGCGGGGGCTTGGAGAAGTTACTTTGTGTGGGCTCGGTCCCCACCTCCATGCGGTATTTTGGAATAAGTAAAGTCTTGTTGAAACTGTCATGGGCAGCTCTGAAAAGGAGAAGAAGTGACATAGATGTAGAAATAGAATAGAAAAATATTCTTCCTGTCATCACAGAAGTGGGAAGGGAGCCTTGTTGCCAGTCCCAGGCCCTTGTTCTGAAGCCGTGGGAATGAAAATGAGACTTTAGGTCTTTTTTAGCACCAGCTGGAAGCACCACCACTTCCTCCACTTGCAGCTGAGGAAAATAATAACACATGTGCTGTGTCCTGGGGCCAGCCCTGCCTTTTAAAAAAAAAAGGATTAGAGAAAAGATAAAACTAGGGATAAGGATGCAAAGAATGATTTAAAAAGCGAGGGCTGTGCCCAGAAGACATCCAAATTTGAAAGTAGATAAGATGACTGAGAGAGAATGAATGTGTATAAAGTGATATATGCAGAAAGTTTTGGTGGGGCCGTTGGCAATACCAGCATTAAAGTGGGAAGCAGAAGAAGACTGGTAGAAGAGACTAGGGGGTAGTAATCAGAGATGGAACTCAGGGTGGGTGACTGTGACTGGTATAGCTAAGTGCTTAGCAGTTGCTCAGTGGTCCTGGAGAAAATAAAAGTGGGTGGACACCAGGAAGGTGGAAAATTTTTTACTGGCACTTGTGATGAGAGAGTCTTTCCTCCCTACAGGGCATCAGTTCCGTCACTGCCATTACAGTGCTTTACTTCCTTTCCCGGAGAATTCCCCTTCCTCGGAGGACCAGGATGGCAGCAGTGACTCTGCTGGCTTTGGCATATACACAGGTGTGAACCACTTCTTCTTTTTTCATGTGAGGGTGTCCCTAAAAGTTAAAAAAGAAAGATGACAGACTGGGAGAAAATATGTTCAATTTATGGTAGACTGAAAGATTAATAGCCAGAAAATAAGTAAAGGATATCAAAACACAGTTCTCAGAAGAGGAATGATAAATGGCCAATAAACATGAAAAGCTGTTTAACCTCACTCATGATCAGGGAAGGCAAATTAAAACAAGGAATGCCATTTTGTGCCTGTCAGACTGGGAAAAAATGAAAAAGAATAATAATCAGGTATTGATACAGGTATAGGAAAATGGATACGTTCATATATTCTTGGTGAGAGCATGAGTTGGTGTTTTTTCCCCCCAGAGGGCAATTTGACAATATCTTTTAAATTGGTAAAGGTATAATCCTTTGTCCTAATAAAATGACTTATTAGTGTCTACCCTAGGGCTGTTCTAATGCACAAAGAGCTACATACAAGGAAATTCATAGTAGCATTGTTGTAATAGTGAAAACTTAGAAACAGCCTAAATGGTTAAATAAACAAGTATGGTATGTGCATACTGTGTAGAATACTATACAGCAGTTTATAAGATCTCAAGAGTTATTGTTAAGTGAAAAAAAGCAAGTTGTAGAAAATGTATATATTTTAAAGCACAAAACTGTGTATTTCCTCTATAAACATTTATACAAAAGTGCAGGTGCGTAGAAAGTGCTAACAGTGGCAGCCTTTCGGGAGGGAAACTGGGATGGGATCAGGGATAATTAAGGGAAACTTTATCTATTTTGTTTGAATTTCCCTCATTGTAAGTATATTTGTCTGAGAAATGAAAAATATATTTTTTGAATGTTTTGATGAGAAAACGTAGAGCTTCGTGTATCTGGCATTCCTTGCCCAATCATTTTCAGTTCTGAATTTGTGGTTACTGCTTTTCTTATTGCTTTCCTTCCTTTGTAACAGGTGGGCTTGGGCATTAGCACTCTCCTGATGTACGTTCCAACCGCTTTGGCTGCCAGTCACCAGTCAGGCTCCTTGGCGCTGCTCAGTGTTTCCCTTTGGCTCATGAACGAACTCCGACGAGTCCCAAAATGATTCTCGGAGGATCAGCTTCCTAGGACTGAAACGGTACCTTTGAGAGCTCATCAGAGAGCACAAGAACAAGAGGATGACCTTGGCATACCAAGTAGCTTCCAAGTTATTTAAAACTTTTTGCCAGCTTTTGAGACAAAGTCACTGGATCAAGTATGTCATTATGTATTGTTTACACTAAAGATTTCTTTTTTCATCTGTTACTTTTGGTATCAAAAATGAAGTTTAATGTAGAGAAGGAAATGTCTGTCATTTTCTGCTTCTTAATAAGCTCTGTCTCAGGTTACTTAATGTTGGCAAGCTCCTGATTCTACATGTATGATCTTTGTCTCCTTGGTTGCCTGAGTCCTGAATTCTACTTAAGTGAAATTCTTTATGATCTTCACTGCCATCAGGTGAAGATTCAAAGGGAAGGATTAGCACACCCTAAAACAGCCAGATAACCTTCAGCAAGAAATAGTTAGTGTCTTCTAGTATCCTTAATTTTGAAAATGAAGAAATGATAGATTTTGACAAGTCAGTGTCTGTATACAGGCATGCGCCACATAACGTCTATTCGGGCCACATACAACCGCATATATGTCCCTGGTCCCATAAGGTTTTTTTTTTTTTTAAGGGAAAGCAGCTGTCCTTTTTTTATTATTTCCCCAATGGTTTTAAAGACCCCAAACCCCCGGAGTGAACGAGCAGTGGAGCTCCAGGGTGCACCCCAATGCCCCAAGCACCTCCGTTCACTCCTGGTGCAGTGCAGCACCCGCTGTGGCTCCTCTTCTGCCTCAGGCACTGGCCAGGCCAGGGTGCTCGTGGGCTCCCAGCTCTGGGCAGCGGCAGCAACAGCAGCAGCAGCTGCTGCACATGATCAGGAAGCGGTTGGGCTGCATCAACAGGGTGGTGGCAGCCAGGGCCACCACCACCAGCTGCACTCCTGGCACACGGCACACATGCTTCCTTCTCAGTCCCCCTGGCCATCTTCGTGCACCCCCGTGTGCCACCTGCCCTGCGCTTGGAAGTTCTCAAAGTCCAGATCTGGCTGCTGGTGCAGACATCACCAGGCCCGCATCTGCACCCCTGCCAAGGCTGGCCTCCTGTATACAGTGGATACAGCTCTTGGGCTTTGTCCGGTGAGCGGGTGGCAGCAGGGGCTGCTGGCCAGGCTGCTCCTGATCCTCAGGCCGGCAGAACAGCGTGCGGGGCTGGGCGCGTAACCCAGAGACTGCCCGAATATAATACGGTGTTCGCATGACATCCAAATTGCATAACGCCCTATTTAACAGAACGTATAGTGGACGTTCAGCAATGCATGATTGTACGGCAAGGTGGTTTATAAGAACTCGGAAAAGGAGGCCATTGCTAGGTCAGAGGAATGGAATAAACGGTATAAATTCATTCCTGAAAGACAGTGAAGGAAATATGGCCTTGATGGTAGTACAGGCAGTCCCCGATTTATGACGTATTGAGTTAGGACGAACAGCACTTAAGACCGTCTTTTTTTTTTTTTTTTTTTGTAAATTTTATCATTAGTAGTATGTACTACATACAATGTTGCAGCACGTAATTTGCTGATGTTATCATTCTCATGCCACTCCCAAAGACAAAGATTGGATTTATAGAGATAATAAAAGGCAATAATAATGAAAACAAAAAAAAAACGAGGTTTTCGACTTAACGTCAGAACCAATTTATGATGGAGTCGTCAAAACGGAACCCCCTCGTAAGCTGGGGACTACCTGTACATGAAAGTCTGTATGGATGTTTAAACAAGTTGTTGATTAATGAATTGGTATGATTTTGGTCTCTGTTGATATTTTACAGGGTTCTGTATTGTTCAACATTTTTTTCTTAATATTCAACTTTTTTGAAGGCATCATAAACATTAGATTTGAGGATGGAGCAAATGAACATTGCTAACATAATAGATGGCAGTCACAACTCAAAACAGTCCCAGAGTGACACCATCAAGATGAAGTTAAATAGATTATAAAGTTCTCATTTAAATTAAATAGGTTATATAAGTTTGGGGTGGAGAATCCTGGCTTTATAGCATTTCATGTAAAGATGACTTGGGGATTTCAGTTGGTCACAGGCTCAACATGAACCAACAAAGTGATGATACTGATAAAAATTAGTGGTGTTTCAGATTTTATCAGTAGGAGTGTCACAACCATATCACACCTGGTATAGAATACCTTCCAGGTATTGTATTTCACTCTGGATACCAAATTTAAAGGAGGACATTGACCACTAAATGTATATGCAGAGGAGAGACCAGGATGGTGAGGAGTCCAGAACCCATATCCCACAGGGAATGGTGGAAGGAACTGGGGTAATTAGCTGGAGAACAAAAAACGTTAGGGAGAGAGCAAGATTCCTGTCTGAGAAATTAAGGCCTTAATGCAGACAGAGAATGAGCTTTTCTTTGCTGCAAAGCTGGGAGTAATGAGTGAACATTGCAGCAAAGTAGTTTTTAGTCCTATAGAAGGCAACAGTAGGTTGGACCAGATCAGCTGTCCACTGGGGTCAGGCTGATGGAGACAGTGGTGAACTGGAGAGCAGGTGCCCCAGTTAGGCAGCTAAGCCACTGTGAGCTCTGGCCTGTTGCTGCTCTGGAGGCCCAGGGTTGCCAGAGTTGCTAGTTTTTAAAGAAAGCAAACATGTTTATGTGAAAGCTGTGAATTTAAGTGTTGGCAACTATTTTTTTAAGTGTTAATGCAGGCCAAAGAACTCATCTGGCGGCCATAAATGACCCAAGGTTTGCTCATTTGCAGTCCCTGGACTAGATGATCTCAGTCCCCTTTCTATCCTAGTATTCTGTGAGTTTCAGTGAGTCCTGTAGTGTGTGTCTGAGGGAACCATTCTCAGGTGGGTCTTAGCAAACCAATAGACAGTTTGTCTTTGATTTTTCAAGGATCTCAGACCCTGGTGGGTTCATACTACTGCCTAGCGTTTTAGAGTTGTCATATTGAGTCACTATTTGAAAACCTGCTCTCCCTAGAGTGGTTCCCAGCTTCTCTCACATTAGACAGAATCTTTTAAAAATTCCAAAGCCCAAGCTTCACCCCAAATAAATTACAATATCTGGGAACAGGAACCGGCATAATGAAAGTTCCCCAGGTGATTCTGATGTGCAGACAAGTTTGGTAACCTCTGGCCTAATAGCCAAGGAGCCCTGATGGCACAGTGGTTAAGTGCTCGGCTGCTAACCAAAAGGTCAACAGTTTGAAACCCACCAGCTGCTTCTCAGGAGAGAGATATGGCAATCTGCTTCCATGAAGATTACAGCCTTGGAAACCGTATGGGGCAGTTCTGCTCTGTCCTACAGGATCACTATGAGTCAGAATCAACTCGATAGCAATGAGTTTGGCTTGGGTTGGCCTAATAGCCTAGTCTCCTTAGAAAATTCTGACTAGCTTGTTCCTATTCACTCAGAATTTCCACCCCATCCTATCTCATTTAATCTTCTATGTTAGTGTGTTAACAGGATATCACCTCTTCTAAATAGTAGAATTCTTTAAAGAAAGGAAATTGCCATCACTGGGACAGATTCCCACATCATCATCTCATCCAGATTTTCTTTAGTTAATAACTGAGTCAGCAGAGGGCAGCATGACTCAACCCAAAGAACCATATGCTAATATTTCTACAGTTCCCTCCAATAAAGTAACAACTTATGAACAAAATAAGTTCAAGTTTCAGGTGTTTTACTTCATTTTATTAAGTATGATAGAATAAGCTTGGGAAAACAGATGTGGTTGCATTTAGCTATGTAACTGTATGCCTGTCGTTGAGCTCCTGGTGAATAGGGATTAACTTAATTACCTTTGTATTTGTCATATTCCTGGCACTGCCAGACACAAACCAAATATTGAATGAACGCACGAATGAATGGAAAATGGATGATTAACAGATTGATGTCCCAAGCACCTCTTTCAAAAAAAGTCATCATGTACCTATAGTATTAAATGTATTTCCCATAATATTTTCAAACGTCTAGCAAGTCTGTCAAATCTAAACCTTTTTAAAATATCAAAGGATATTAAAATATATGGTTTCCTTAACCTATCAACCCAAATTTTTTTGTCTTTAATTTACACTAACAAATAATGCTGCCCATTGTGGCAGGGGTAATGATTAACTACCTCTAACTCTGCCTGAAGTGATAACTGGTTGCAAAGACCAAAACTGACAATCATGATATTGGGATAACCAATTCATCTGCAACTATCCTTCTGGCACTGGGACAGGTTACATATCGGCAGGTTTAAGACAAACACCCACACCCTTGCATAAGGGATAATGCATGGTCTCTCTAACATGCATTGCACATTTTGCTCAACACTGATTTAACAGTGTTTATCACTGAGAGTTTTAAGAATTGTGTTCAGTAAAATTGTTTAATGTGAAGCATTAAAGAAACACATACAATATTAGCAGCCTCAAGAAGTCATGCAATACAGTCATGCAATACAGGCAGCCTTTGGTTTTTCAAAGCAAGAAGGGAGCCTCTAGTTTTAGATCATAATAAAAACATGCCTTTCAGCTTACTCTGCAAAGGCCATTGCTCAAAGCAGAAGCAGTGAAGGAGATATGGCATATACTTCTGGGCTTCAACTAAAGGGGAACAGTGGAATTTCAAACACAATATAAGAAATAACAGAAATAAAAATATTTGTCTGGGAGCTCTACTTCAAGAGAAAAGACTTTAAGCTAATAAGAGGCAGAGCTTTTCACTGCCGGCAGCCTTATACAGGCCAAACTCTGGTAGGTGCTCTGTAGAAGCCACTCAGGAAAGTACCAGGGCCATCACAGAGTGCAGAGGCGTGGTAGGCAACCAGGGGGTGTATGATGGCTGCCCTACTTAAAAAAGAGGCTCACGAACAGAAATGTCTTCAGGCTTGCCCGAAGTCACAAACATACTGTGATTCAGACTGTTTTTTCAACTTTGGTTTTTATAAAACTGGCAAGCACTTACTGAATACATTTTAAAAGTAGAAAGCCCTTATAGAGTCAGTAATGATTCAGTTTTACAAACAAAAGGATCTAATAGCTCAAACTTCCAGAGAAACAAAATGGTTAACTGGTTAACTCATGTCCATCTAATGGTTCTGGCAAACTGGGAAATAAAGAGATAATAGGCAAAAGGGAGACACTTGTGTACTAACAGGAGGGACATCTACAAGGATATGAAAGAGAGAGGAAGTAGACAAAGCAGCTTAAAATGAAGCTTCAACAAGTCACCTGTAAGAGAACCACACGCAGAAACAGAAACCAGAAGATAGGACACCCAGACCAGGCACTACAGCTTTTGAACTTAGGTCAAATCCAGGTTATGATAAAGAAAGGCAAGAAGGGAGCCATAAAGAATACAGAACAATACTTAAAAGTACTTGGCTTCAGGTATATTCACTCTCTTCGCAAAAATGTTTGCTATATATTAATCGAAAGGGTCAAAACTTTTGATTTTCAGGTCCTCTTTTTAACAATATTTTTTGTAACACCAACAAAATCCTCACAGGTTTGACAGAAGCATTTGGCTGCAGTGACAGGACTCTGAAGCTAGCGTAACGTAAGAGAATAATTTGAGAGAATTCTTAATCCTAATTGAAACGAAGCTACACAACATACCACAGGCAAAAAGGAAAATTAGATACTAATTTTGAATTGGTTTTAAAAGAATTTTAAGGACAGCGAAAAGAAACAACACTTTCTGTAAGGAAGTCTGGAAACTGCCCAAGAATTACAACGAAATTTCTTAATGAGGTAGATCTAGTAGACATTTATTCCTTAAACAATTTAGATTGTAACCATCACATGAACTGCTTAGATGCTGTGGTTAAGAAAATTGTACAAAATGAAGCAAGTTTTTAAAAACAGATATCTAAAAATCTTCAAGTATTAAAAGAAATACAGAAGTTAGAATAAATCTAGTGAAGAACTGGGAACTATTTCTAACAATATTACTTTCAAATTTAATTTCTAAGGGTAAGCAAACCAATCACAAATGAAAATCAGAAACAGTTATAAAGATTGGGCATGAATAAAGTGGTTAGTTGCGGCCAGCTGTATTATAAAGAATAGATTCTGTTGAAATACACTATTGGAGGAAGATTCTGTCAATACTCATTTCACTGTAGCTGCCAAAGTGGTGTGTGTGATACACAGAACAGAGAAACTTGGAATCCAGGAGGCCAGTCACTGTGACTTTGCACAAATTACAATTTGACTAGAAGGACTCCCAAATCCCAGCTTTAAAAACCTCTTCTGAAATTTATCTATAATGATTCCTGTTAGAAAATCCATTCCCACCATCAACCTTACTGTCAGGCGCTATGGATAAAATAGGAGGACCACTGGCTGTTGTGGAGAGCCTGATCTTCTAAACCAAAGGCCAGAATTCTCTTCCAGAAACCGTATCACTTTTCTACCTTCTGTTTTGCCGCTAGTTCCTTAGTCCAATGTTCTGTCTAGCTACCTTGTTTTATAGATCAGGAACGAACCTGAGGGCAAACGGCTTGCTCTCTGGGGTATCAGAGCTAGTTAATGACAAAGCCAAGACTAGAATCCAAGTCTGGCGTTCGTTAAGCCCACTGTTCCTTCCACTAAATCATAACACTTACTTGTCTTTCACCCCTGACAAAAAGCAAAACACAAAACTACAAGAATGAAGCTAGTGGGACGGCATCTGTTTAGATAAAGTCAGAAAGAAACTGTAAATATGGATGTGAAAATAAATGTTAATGCTTAAAAAGACTAGTTCAGCAAGTACATGGCAGACTTTCAGTCAACCACAATTCAGTAATTACTGCCCAAGGCCTTTGAAGTTAAAGGAAGCTCTTAGGCTGAGGAAGGGAGGGACAGAATACTCTGGATGACATTTGAAGAATAAATACAAGGTTGGTGGAAAGTGATTAAAATTTCCTAGACCAAGGAAATTCAATTCAAGGAGCAAAAGTTCAGAGAGAAAGATAGTATAATTTGGCTTAGCAATAACTGCAATTTAAGTGAATGTTCTGCCACATAATTGGGTGTTTTGCATATTTTCATTATGTTGGTGACTAGAACTCACTACATGGACTGAGTTATAGGATAGACTGTGCCATCATAAGACTAATACAGCATCATTACTATAGGCCACTGACTCCATTTTGACATTTGTGACCTGTCTCAGTAATAACAAAAGTAATAAAGTTCAGTTCCACTGTTAATGTTATCAAGAACCAAGAAAGTTCAGTTCCACTGTTAATGTTATCAAGAACCAAGAATTCAAAGGAACCAGTGTAATGTGAATTTTATGAAACCATAATTATCTTCACAAAAGACCATTCAAAATGCAAAAATGCAAATAGAATAGAAATCAGAAAAAACTGACGGTTAAAGGTATGGCAATATAGTCTGCAAACCTATAAATAAGACTTTCATTATGAGAAAGCAAACTTAATTGGCCCTCAGCAAGGAATAAATGGCTTATGTTTCTATCTAATGACATTTCATTTAAATCTGTTAATTGGGAGCAATGGAAGAGGCACAGAACCAATACCAACAGCAAAGATTCAGTTCTGCTGAGAGGTATAAAATTTTTCTTTCTTATTTTTATACGATGGAACTCTGTAACATCTTACTCGTGGTAATAATGACAAGCCTAGACCTCATAATATTAAAATAGTGAATAGACAGTATTATTTAAATAATGAACTAAACAAAAACTCAAACACGAATTAAAATAAATTAAGAATAAGAAATATTTATATTGAAAAAATTAATAAATGTGGGTATCCTGAGTTTCTCGACTATAAAAAGAAGACAGTAATATCAATCTGAAAGGTTGTTGCAATGATTAAATAATACACAAAATTCTTAACAGAGTGTCTGGTATAGAAGAAGTGCTTAACAAATGGTAGCCATTCCTATTACAACTTTCCTAATAAGAGCTTTCAAGTGGACTAATCACCACCTCCTCCCCCTTCATTCTGAGCACAAGAATGTGATCATTGTTAGCCAATCAGGTAACTTTTGACTGGATCATTCCCTCACAAAAAAACAAAAATAGTATTTGGAAACCAAGGTGAGGGAAAAAGAAAGTTACCTGAGTAGGCAATGGTGAGCAAAAACATATTTTGACATTATTTATAAGCAGCATTCATTTGGGTGAGGGCTCCGTCAGAGTGACACAAAGATAATGAGAAATAAAAGAATATCAAGGCAATTTAGAAGTCTTCAAAATTAAAGGAAATAGCTGTGACATAATCCCTAATGAAACTGAAAAAAAATATGTCCGAAGGAAACCATAATGTTCTACGCTAAATCCGCTTTTATCTAATGTGAAAACAAGACTTGTTGCTCTCTTGCCCACCAACCAAGAGTCAATACACTTGTCTTCATCTCAGTTTGTTTCCAGGAGGATCTTAATTTATTTTTCTCTGTTTTGTGAAGCATTTCATTCCTTTCTATTGCTAGTATGGAATTTATTTTTGAAGAATTCCATTATTTTTCCCCTTAAAGTCAGGAACCCTTTTTCCTACTCACTTAACCCTAAAATCAAAGGCTACCAAAAGAAAAGAAAGCTACTTCAACTCTGGGAGCAGCCATGGGCAGGACATGCAAGGCCACATGTGGGAACAGGTAAAGTATAAAGAAGACTCAAGGGCGGGAGGCAAGACCTGATGAAAGAAGAATCCTCATGCAATTTAAAGGCTAAATGTGGAGAAGGAGCAAAGCTTCTGAAGGGGAATGGATGAAAATGTAATTATTATGGCTTTTCCTCTCTCCTCATTAATGGAAGTGCTGTTTGTGACTGAGCAATCTCTTAACAGAGGTTCTGAAAGTTTCTAGGTGGCTTATTAACAGATTTATCTATTTATTCCAAAATGTAGAGCTTGTTCCCTTCAGATATTCCAAGAGTCAGATATTGAGAAAATTTCTATTTCTCAAAAATAAATAAATAAATAAATAGGGACTTTAATTTTATTGCCTTTGCCCACTCTCCCGATATTGCTCTTCCTTTCTTTAAAAACATTCCAAATACATCCCTTCCCAAACTACATACTGATCTTAGCAGTGAAATAAAGGAACTCTTTTTGAGCCCCCTGTAGGGGCTCATAAAAATAGTTCTAGGGGACAGTGACCCGAAACCAGACAAACTCAGGTCCCCAGCCCCCATCACAGCTTTTCCATCCTACAAGCACAATTAAGGTTCAAAAAAGAAAAATTAATGCCCAAACAGCCTGTGAGGCACATAGACATGGAAAAAATTTCTATCCTAGTCATACCAGGCATCAAATATTGTAAAAATCTTCAATGGACCATTCATTTAGAAAGGATTCTAGTCTTTTTAAATCACATAGCAACATCAGCAATACTATGTCAGGGATCTTGGACCACACGGACAATGGCTTCTTTGTCAAGGAAGCAAAGAAACTATGCTATTTTGGTTGCTTGGAAATTCCTATCTGGTCCACTGAACTGCAAAGCTCTTGGAACCCTATTAAAGGCTATGGATCTCCACATAAATTATATCTCTGTTACAGAGAAAGAAGGGGCTGCTGCACTTCCTAAGGTGTCTCTGGCTTGGGATCAGATGCTCCAAGTTTAGTTTTAATCAGGCTTCTGGTGTGCCCAATGCCAAACTTTATGCATTAGCAAGGGGAGTATAGGCTAGATCCCAGGAACACACCAGACCTCTCAGATAAAGGAGCAGAACGTGCCTCAATTGAGCTAAGGTTGGTCCCCTTTGTTAGCACCAATCTCTCAGTTATTTGGTTTTTCACAGACCAAAGTACAGCTTCTCTCAGAGAAGAGGACCTGGGGTATTTAGAAGTAATTAAAGTAGAAATTCCAAGGCCAAATATCCACAAGATCAGGCAAAGCAGCATCTGAAGCCAGTACAAGAAAATGGTGGAATTCAATGAGCAGCAACTCTGGACTAGTCAAGCTTCTTTAGTCTTGGTCCAGCCTCACGGCTCCACTTGTACTCCAATCATGGGTACCACCTCTTCGATCCACAGCATGTCCAGTGGAGCTGAGGCTCGAGCTTGTCGGTGGTGAATTCGGCGTAGCCGCAGAAGGTACAGAATGATGGCCAGTAGCACCACCAGAATGCAGGCAAAGAAGAGATAGTGGTTGTAGACAAAGGAAAGACGGAACCAGCTACTGTGGACTTGTCGGACACCCTCCTGTCGTAGATCCCTAGGGAAGAGTTTGAAGGTGGAAAGAAACGTTAGTTCCAGAGAGAAACATTTACTCTGATTTGAAAGGCCTAATGGTGTTCTCATTTACTCCACTGATATCAGCTCCATACAACAAGCAAATCTGACAAATGTCCCAAGCCTCAGGGCTGCCATGTGATTCCTTCCACGACCTACAGAGGGAGCCTCACAGGCCTACACCTTCCAGAATCTAGGGACAAAATCAGAAGGTCTTTTAAACTGAAGTAAAAAAAAACTGATAGACAAGATTGGTCATCTGTAACATTAAAAGTCGTGAAATACACTTTGTAAATATGGTACTAATGATAATAGGGTGGCGTCACTAGGGTTGGTGTCACCCAGTACAGTAACTCACAGTGGCAACCTTCCCCCCACCCCTGTGGGCAGGGAAGGGCAGCAACCCCCCCAACACCCCCCGCAGAGCAGCACAGCTCCCTCCTGCCCCAGTGCAGGGCCAAACCCTGTGCCTTGTGGCTCCGCCCCCTCCCAGCCCCACCCATCCAGGCCCTGCCCCCCACAGCTCCTCCCCCTTTCCATTGGCCAAGGCAGAGACCCTCCTCTCTCCCCAGCAGTGGGTGCTGCAACCCAGCTGCCCACACCTTGACTGGTAGGCTAAGGTGGGGGGATAGGGGGGTATGACAAGTTACTGCCTGGGTGACACCAACCTTAGCCACTGGTGGGTGACGGGGGGGGTGGTGACAAGCTACCACACTGGGTGACGGATGACACCAATCCTAGTGATGCCACTGCCTTGGCAGCCCCTCCCTTAGCAGTGCTGACCCGCCGCTGGGGACCCTGGGGTCATTTTGATGTCAACCTCTCTGACAGTGTGAGGGGGTGCACTCCACATCCCCCACACTCCCCTAGTGATGCCACTGGGGTGTCCTCTGAATCCAATCAAGAAATCAGAGTATGTCAAAATCTTAAAAAGTTTTCCATGGTCCTTAGGGTTTAGAATGTCTAAGGAAAACTGTTACCTGATCAATTGTATTGTATTCTGGGAAAAAAATAAAGAGATACAGAAACCAAAGTGCAGTGGTCTGCCTGTCTATATAACAGATGCCACTATTCGGGGTCTAGATACTAGATGCTTTTTTTTTGGTTTGGTCTGCAGTGTTTTTAAAATGTGAATCTCCAAATTGAAAAACTTCACATAAAATATGGATTTCTGGCTTCTCGTGACGAATGAGAATTGGCAATGGTGGGGAAGCACTTTTGTGTGACGTTAATCAGCCTTTTAGTTGGGGCACACTCTCTTCAATTCCCCACACCCCCTACCCAGCCCACTTCCCTCACTTATATCACCTGCCTGGCTCCTGACAGTAGTAGGTTTGGAGGACTAGGAGCCAAAGATTAAGAATTCATTTTAATTTATCTGAAAAAGTCCAGGAGAGGGAGTACATGACAATTGTCCCAGATATCTTACAGTGCATAAGGGCAAGGCATCAGGCTACCATAGCTTGATGAAAATATCCCCCACTGAAAACATCTCACACCCTTTATTCTAACTGTGCCCCACCAAAAAACCTTCCAGGTCGATGACATGATCTCTGGAGTGACGCTACCCATCAAGAAAGATTGCTCTATACAGACGGCTTACCCCCGTTCTCTAGTCAGATGTGTTTTCCAGGGTAAATTAAGAAAATGACATCTTAGTTTATCAATCAGTATCCCGGAAGTAGTTAGTAAGAGATCAATCCTAAGTATGGATTTGTTGTGTGTGAACAAATAAAAAGTGAGTTTCTGGAACTGCAAAGCTGAGGAACAGACTCTAGACCAATGATTCTCAACCTTCTTTCTGTTTCAACATTCCTAATTAGTAATAGTGGCTCACACGGCAGTGTTAAAGGGAAGATTTTTTTTTTTCTTTTTTTGGGAGAGGATGGGTCATTTAAGAAATCTATTATGAGGCACCAACTAACATCCTTGAACTCAGGATACCAGCCGGCTTGGTCAGTTTCACTTTACCTGAGCGGTAAGAATCGTGTTTTATACAGAATGGCTCCCAGCGTCCACTGAACTTCTCGGTCATATACCAGCTGGGCTGTCCGTAGGTTTGGGTAGTTGTAGGGAAAGTGGAACCCTTCATGAAGGACTTGGTACATCCAGGCTGATTTAAAACACTGATATCTGCACAAAAACAACAAAAAATAAAATAAAAATTTAAAAAAGAATTCTAATGTTTTCCTTTGCAATAAGTCACTCTATACCCTCACTTAAAAAAAAAAAAAAAAAAAACAGTTGCCGTTGAGTCAATTCTGACTCATGGCGACCCCATGTCAGAGTAGAACTGTGCTCCAAAGGGGTTTCAAGGCTGATTTTTCGGAAGTAGATTGAGGCCTTTCTTCCAAGGCACCTGGGGTGGACTTGAACCTCCAACATTTCTGTTCGCAGCCAAGTGCATTAACCATTTACACCATCCAGGGACTCCCATATCTCCACTGCATAAATCAAAAAAATAACTGCCTTTCACCTTCCTCACCTCTAGGTGGAGCCAAATCTGAGAGCCTTCTTTATCTTACCTTTACCACAAAAGTGAAGAATACTTTTATATATAATAATATTGTGGCTGTGTTTTTCTTTCCTTCATTTTTTTTTAACTTCAGGGACTAGGCTGAAAAATCTATAAATGATGTCTGGGATTTGCTTCAAAATAATCCAGTTGTAGTAAGGGAGGGATAAAAAACCAAAAAACCAAATCCATTGCTGTCGAGTCAATTCAGACTCATAGCAACCCTAGAGGATAGAGTAGAACTGCCCCATAGAGTTTCCAAGGAGCGCCTGGTGGATTCAAACTGCCAACCTTTTGGTTAGCAGCTGAACTCTTAACCACTACACCACCAGGATTGCCGAGAGGGATAGTGGGTGGGAAAATAGATGAGATTGGCCATGCCATCTAGACTTTGTGGAGCCATTGAGGCTGAATGAACCCCTAAAACTATTGCCCTAAGATAATCGTTAAACCTTAAACCAAAAATATCCCCTGAAATCTTCTTTAAACCAAACAATAGTTTACCTTAATTAGTAAAGAATGTCTGCCTTGAACATTGTTGCTCTTTTAAGAACTACCTATATGAAATCAAAGTGACAAGAGTAACTCAAAAGATTAGACAGGAATCTTAGCAGGCAGTGAGTTTATGTCAGTCGGGGAGGAACAATTTGGAAAAGGAGGGTGAGAATGCACAACTCTAAGAATGTAATCAGTGTCACTGAATTGTACATGTAGGAATTGCTGATTGGTATATGTTCTGCTGTGTATATTCTCAACAACAAAATATAGAATAAATTTTAAAAAAGAAGGATTGATTATGAGTTGTAGAGAAGCTGGGTGATAGGTACACAGGAATTCATTACACTGTTCTATTTTTATTTATGTTTTTAAAATTTCTAATGAAAACATTTAAAATGGGAGGACCGATGAAGCAAATTGGCAAAATGCTGACACCTGTTGAAGCTGGGTGATGGGTATGCAGGCTTGTGTTACTATTCTTTCTACTTTTCTCTGTGCTTGATATTTTAATAAAGAGTTTCTTTGTTAAAAAAAAAAAAAAAAAAAGCTATCACTTTTTATTTCAAAGCTTGAAGAGAACTCTCTTTGGTAACTACTTTTGGAAACCACTGGTTTCCCTCATCTTCACTAAAATGGGCTCACTATTTTGGTCCCTAGTATCCCTCAGAAAATCACAATGTGAAATAATCAAACTCTCTTTCAACATAAAATCCCACCTGTACTAATGCTCGCTTGCTTGCTCTTCTTCATTATAATCTGCTGTTTACATTTTAAGGCCACACCTAAGGGAGGAAAGGAAGTTACCTACTTGAGTCGATGCTCATCTGCATGTGATGAAAACAGGCCATTCTTGAATCTCTGAGTTAGTACTGACCAAGCCATGCCACAGTAATCCTGGAACAGTCACAGAAATGGTGCAACATGAAATCAGAGGCAAACTGAAAATCTCCCACAATCACAGCTGTCCCATTTCTAAAGTTACCTGTGGGCTACTAGCTGACAAAGGAAAAGAGATATGGCATATGCACTCGCTGGACGCTGTGCCAGTTTCTACGCAAGGCAAGTCCCAGAACTCAGGCCACTGAGTGACTTGAGCGGCCTGAGAACACCCCTTTTAATTCCCACCACCTCCAATTCAGTACAAAGCAGCTTCCTGTGGCTCCTGAGCTTCTTAGGTTTCAGAGAGGGGTAGGGTTAGGCCTAGGAATAGCAACATCAGAAGCCTAAGAGAGTTTCATTCTACTCTATGTAGGCCTGACACGAGCAGGTAGAATGGATGGAACAGAGTGGTCAAAAACTCATTACTGTGCTTTTAAGATCTATTGATCTGAGATCATATTGACAACAGCAACTCAAAGGATTAGACAGGAAACTTGGGGGACAGTGAGTTTATGTTAATGGGGGAGGAACAACTCAGAAGGGGAGGGTGAGAATGGCTGTACAATTCAAAGAATGCAGTCAAGGTATCTGAATTGTACATGTAGGAATTGTTGCATCAGTCTATCTTCTGCTGTGCATATTCTCAACAACAACAAAAATACAATAAATTATAAAAAATCAAAGCAAAACCTATTACTGGTCTGCCTTCATGTTGTAATTCTCATCAAGGAATCATTCTTTTTGGTTTGTTCATTCATTCAACTAATATTTACTGAATGTTTCAGGTGCCATTCTAGGTGCCAACGATCCAGCAGTGACTAAAACAGACAAAAATTCCTGTCCTCGTGAAGCTTACATTCTAGTGGTGGAAGACAGACAATAAATATACCTACATACATACTGCATGCATGCATACACACACACACACACACACACACACACACACACACACACACACACCCCTACCTATATAGCGCATAGCATATGACAGAGGACATAAATGTTTAGAAAAAATAAAGCAGGAAGGGAAATAGGAAATATTGGGGAGGGTTGCCAATTTTGGATAGGGTGGTCAGGGAAGGCATCACTGAGAAGATGGCATTTGAGTCAAAGTAAAGTAAAGTGAGGGAATGCAACCATGAGGATATCTGAGGAAACAGCATACTACGTAGAAAGAGCCACAAGTGCAAAGGTCCTGAGGTAGGAATGACCTTGTCCTGTTTGATGATCAGCAAGGAGGCCAGTGTGGCTAGAGTAGAGGGAATAAAGGGCAGAGGAATGGAAAATGAGATTGAGAAGTAACAGGGCCAGATCACATGGAGTCTAGTGAGCCACTATAAGGACTTTGGTTTTTTTCTGAGTGAGATAGGAACATGTGAGGGTTTTGGACACTTGATACTCCTTATTTTTTAAAAGATCACTCTAGCTGCTATATTGAGGACAGACTGAAGGAGGGCAAGGGCAAAAGCAGATAGACCAGTTAGGAGGCTATTGTAAGATGGAGTTATGTTTGACAGAGAGCTAGTGCAGAGTCAAGGACAGCACCTAGGTTTGTGGCCTGAACAATTAAAAGAATGGAATTACCATTTATTGAGATAGGGGAAGACTAAGGGAGGAGCAGTTTGGGGTGGTGGGGAAGAAGTGGGCACAGATCAGGAGCTCAGTTTTGGGTATTAAGTTTGAGATACCTATTAGACCTCCAAGAAGAATTGTTGAATCAGCCACTGGATACATAAGTCTGAAGTTTGGGGGAAAGGCCTAGGCTAGAAATATAAATTTAGGAACCATTAGCATACAGATGGCATTTAATTTGGCTAGATGAGATCACCAAGGGAATATAGACAGGAAAGAGAAGAAGCCCAGGGCCTGGTGAAAGTAAAGTATTGTCTCCATAAAGTTTAAGTTAAAAAATAAATCTCTCTTATCAGGGAACGGTAACATATTAAGCCACTAGCAAATTTAACAAGCAATAACTTGAATCCTTTGGTACTCAAGGGAATAGAATTTGAAGCAGAAGTTTTGAGATGAGGGAAATATTCAAGCCTTGGAAGGAGCCCTGGATGCTGTAAAGGAAAGGAAATATGAGGAGATTCCTAGAGGCTGGAAGGGAAAGAGCAAATACAAACTATGCATTCCACAATATTTGTTAGGGACTGCCTTTTGGGAACAGAGTAATAGAGACACTGTAGATCCTACTCTATAGGCAGTCTTACACCAAGAGAGCCCTAGAGAATTGTAAGAAAGTAGAAAGGAAAGAATTTAAATACAAAGAGGACAGATTCTTCGCACAATTTTCTTTGATGGAAGGCCTAGATCAGGGAGATACACAAACATTCAAAGACATGAATGCAAATTAAAGCAGGGAACTACAGAAAGCTGACTATACTCTGACGTGTCTAGATAGCTAATGTAAGCCTAGAAGATGCTTAAGCCCTGGATATGCTCAAAGTAAATTTTTAATCCTTCTATATTTTGAATTTGAACAATCCTTCCACCATCATTACTTTTCACAACATCCTTCCAACACTCCAAGTGACTCCACACGACTCTGGCCTGGACTGGCCCACCTGGGTAGCATCATCTCCAAAAACACACTCCAACTGGAAATGCACCAGGGAAAACATGACTGGAGAGCATATTTTTTTTACCACAAACATTAAACAAGACCATTGGAAAGGCAAAGGAAAAACCATTTAGCTGCACAGCAATTTTAGACGTGGGTGACAATTTGACTGATATGACACCCATGGAAACCTAAGCTTAATTAATTAGAGAGCAGTACTGCACAGTAGGTTCCCAAACTTCTCCAAGTTCACTCCATCATTTGTAAAAATGAGGGCTCACAAGGGTCCTGTGTAGAATTAAGTGAAATCATGTGAAGCCCTTTGCACAGCACAAAGTCGTTATTGTTGTTAGGTGCTGTCCAGTCGGTTCTGACTCACAGCGACCCTATTGGACAGAGCAGAACTGCCCATAGGGTTTCCAAGGAGCGGCTCATGGCTTTGAACTGCCAACCTTTCGGTTAGCAGCCGAGAGCTTAACGACTGCGCCTCCAGGGCTCCCACAAAGTTAGGCACCCAATAAATGGCTATCATGAGCCATCTTTATTATTAATAACTTACCTGAGCAGCCTTGGCAAATGTTGGCCCATGGTAGCGGCCACCGATGCGCAACACATCCTCTGTACAGTAAAAAAATTCAGAGAAACCATAGAACTCGCTGTTGTTGAAGTCAATGGGCGACTGGTAGATGCCGTTCAGCGAGGCTTGGCTAGTGTTGGAGCGAGCCAACAGGGGGCTCACCATGGCCCCACAAGTTGTCCAGTCTCCTTTTCCTCGAACATGCAGGACCTGGCTGTTCCTCTCCACCACATCTGTAAGTCCTACGGGCAGGCACGGATCCAGAAATGGATTTTCAGGACTCAGACCTGTCTTCTGGCCCAGCAACCTGTCACAATGACACAAACATGTCCTCACTGTACTCAACCCAGTCTAAGAAACACAATGTGGTTCACAGCTACCTTGTTATTGTTTTCCATGATGTCCCTAGAAGCAAGGGTGGAGTATTATAGTGCACTCCATCTCAAGCACATTTCACTTAAACAAATTCAACTTAGCAAAAAACGAAAGAGAAATATGGCAATGATGAATTTTGCTCTATCTTTTAGTCAATGAATACACTTCCCAGTGTGATAGTGAAACTGGAGACATGAATCTACTGGTATTCATTCCCACAGGCCTTTGAAAAGGGCAAGGACCATGCTGAATGTGGTTCTAGTGTTGAAAAAATAACTGGGAGGAGGTGAAGGCGGAGGGCTTCCCAAGGAGGGGCTTCTCAACTGTGGCGACAGAGAGCCTGGCTTTGAACGAGAACAAGCAGTCCTGGAACTGAACTTGAGCCTCTGCTGGGCAAGCAAGCAGGGAGGGGCAAGCAAGTTTTGATTCCCACCATCGTCATCACACAGTTCTGGTTATTTACCTGCCTAGCAACAGTATTCCCATTCCTAAAGAGATTAATCTGCAGATCTGGCAGAGGAAGGGAATTAAGTGGAGACCAAGTAACTCTGTCAACTATAGTTGAATACTCATCAGTTTCCAAGCAGACAGATGCTGAAGAACGGACTTCCTGGGATGAAGATGCATTCACAAACGTAAAGACTGAAGGAGGGAATGTGGCAACACAATAAAATGCTTTAAAACAACCAGAACTATTTTAAGGATATGATGCCAACTATAAGGAAAACTCAGAAAATCTTTACTATGATGAGAGCCATTAAATGTTTGCTTTCTAGATGGTAGCACAGGTTTCTCTAGATTAACTTGTAACCCATTGCCATCGAGTCGATTCTGACTCACAGCGACCCTATAGGACAGAGTAGAACTGCCCCATAGGGTTTGCAAGGAGCAGCTGGTGGATTTGAACTGCCAACCTTTTGGTTAGCAGCCGAGCTCCTAACTGTCACACCACCCTCTAGCAAATTAGCAACTATAAAAGATGTATGCCTTTTATTCATTGAGCTCCTAAATTAGGTGACTTGGATACCTGGCAAAAAATACCAATGCATGGGGAGAAGAAGATGTAGCCTGGCAGGCAGAAGTTCTGAGGCAGCAGAGATAAAGAGAGCAGCAGAAAACAATGGAAAAAGAAGCATAGCAGCTAATGAAGAAGGAATGAAACAAAACTGGTGTGGAACTTCTTCAAATATCATAGTGCCAGTAGGAGAAATTTGAGCAAAAGAACCCAAGCAATGTTCGTATGGATTTAAGAGTATTTTCAGAATCCAAACACACTGCTTGATTTTAATACATTCGTCAGTTCATCCAGGACACCAGGATTCTCTCAAAGTACCTTGAACTCTTAGTGGCTGGATACTTAAAAAAAATAAAAAAGACTTATGAAAGAATATTTTCTTCAACATGCTCCAAATATCGGATGTAAGACAGCTGAATGCTACAGAGAAATGATTACAAATGGAATATAGCAGTACCTCTTCAAGCTAGTGTTTCTGGTTAATGGCTGCAAATAATTTTATGGTGGAAAAGAACTCTGCTATCTATTATGCTTTCCTTTGATTGCATAATGATAAAATAAATAATTTTAAGTTAAAAAAAAACCCACTCTTTGTACATCATGATCTAAATACTTCATCTGGTACTCAAATGAAGAATCAGTGATCTGTCTGTCCAGTGCTGGATAAAAACTGGCTATGCTGGACTAATGAGAGACTATTTTAAAGGTTAATTTTGACTACCCATTGCCGTCACATCCAACTCATAGTGACCCTATAGGGCAGAGTAGAACTGTCCCATAGGGTTTCCAAGGCTATAACCTTTACAGAAGCAGACTGACACATCTTTCTCCCACAGAGCAGCGGGTGGGTTTGAACTGCTGACCTTTCAGTTAGCACCTGAGTGCTTAACCACTGCACCACCAGGACTCCTTAATTTTGACTACACATGCTTTTTATCTTTTATGTGCACTATGGAATCTTACTCCCACATAAGACGCAACTTCACTGTAATTCAACGAACATGTCTTGAGCACTTCCATGTACGAGGAACTGCTAGGAGCTACATTATACTTCACATTTTAAATAAGCAAATTAATTAATTTCAATTCTCATGATGTCATGTCTGAATGCGGGATACTGCAAGAGATTACCACAATAAGCTGCTGTACTTTTTTTATGAGTTCTAACAACAAAGATCAGAATGCACCCTCAGCCAGATACAGTGGGATTGCTAACAGAGGGTCTCTAACAGATTGCTACCCCATCAGCAGGGGTGGTCAGAAAGGAGGAAGAAGCAAGGGCTCATCTATCTTAGTAAAAACCCAGAAAACCAAACCCATTGCCACTGAGCAGATTCCAACTCCTGGCAATCTCATGTGTTACAGAGGAAGGCTGTTCTGTATGGTTTTCTTGGCTATAATCTTCACGGAAGCAGATCACAGTGACTTTCTTCCACAGACCCACTGGGTAAGTCTGAACCGCCAACCTTTAGGTTAGAAGTGGAGTACAAACCGTTTGCGCCTTCTATCTTAACCATTATCTATCTTAATCACTGCACCACCAGGGCTCCTCTATCTTAGGATGTGACTATTTCTTCCTAATAATATCGGCAGCCTGGGCACATTCTATTTTAGGAACTCCGGTCCTCAGTCAAATGTACCTGTTTTTGTTAAGAGTTTCATTCAGCACAAGGTCTTCATAGCGCTGCCGGGCAAAGTTGCCGCCAAAACCCAGAAAAGTCGTGACATAAACCCTGTACACATGTTCGGTGTGTTGTACATCACAGCCCAGGTTGAATTCAGCCAGCAGGATCTTGGCAGCTTCTTCCTAATATAATGTATAGAGAAAAAAAGGAATTTTAGTTTTGACTGACTTCTAGAAAGCGATAACATTGTTAAGATACCAGGCTTCATTTGCTATGACTACTCTTTAAAATATCTGTAGCATTCTTTCATCCTCATAGCATTATTTTCAGCAAGGACAGAAATTGAGAAGATTTCACAAAGAAGTACAAACTAGAGACTAAATTAGAGACTAAATACCAAATGAGAAAGTAAAATACTATCTGTAGTTACATAGAAGGTAGAACTATTATGGAGGATGTCATTTTCTTGCACGTACTTTTTTGTATTTTCCAATTTTCCACAACGGGAATGCATTATTTTTATAATCAGAAAAAAAAAAAATCCTTTAGTAAAAATGAATTTAAGGAATTTCTGGTATCATCATGAGATCTACTCTATGACCTTTCCTGAAACTATTCAAGAGGATCTAGTATTCCTTGCGACAGGTTTGGGGATTGGGAAAGTCCAAATTTATTGTACCTTCAATGAAAAGGTGCTCTATTTTTTTCTTTTTTTAGAGTTTAGGTGCAGAGGTTGAATTAATCATCTTCCTCGGCTTATGGCACATTATCATGGAAAGGGCCCTCTTTCGTTTTATCTGTTTATTCCCTTTTATCATTATACTCCACTCCCATTCCCATCCCCACCAGCCGCAAGTCTAGTGTGCTTGATGTGCAATTTTTGTGTATATGTGCTGTTGTAAAATGTGTATTATTGTTTTGAACGTATTTATTTTTAATTTGTGAAAATGCTACTGTGGCCAGCAGTTCCACTCCTCGGTACATAACCAATAGAACTGAAAATCTGTATCTACATAAAAAATATGTACACAAATGTTCACAGCAGAACTATCCATGATAGCCAAAAAGTGGAAACAACCCAAACATCCATCAACTGATAAACGAATAAACAAAATGTGATATAGCCATACAATGTTATTTAGCCATAAAAAGGAGTGAAGTGTAGATACATGCTACAAAAATGAATCTTCGAAACGTTTTGCTAAGTGAAAGAAGTCAGACGCAAAAGGCCACTATCGAACGATTCCATTTATATGAAATGCCCAGGATAGGCAAATTCATAGAGACAGAAAGTAGATTTGTGGTTGCTAGGGGTTGGGGAGAGAGGGAGATGGCGAGTGACTAATAATGGCTATGAGGTTTCTTTTGGGGTTGATAAAAATGTTTTGTAATTGCACAACTTTGTGAATGTATCAAAAACCATTGAATTGTACAAAAAAATACATTAGGTATTTAGAATTATTTAAATTTAAAAAAAGCTATTGTGTTATGTCTCATTCTTTCTTTTTTTACTAAGCACTAAGATCTATCTTTAAGGCCCATCCTATTACTATTTGTACATCTAATTCGTTAGACTTAGCAAGTAGAGTTGACCCCTGCCAGTCCTTGTTCTCAGCCAGGGGTGATTTTGCCACCCAGGGGATATCTGGCAATGTCTGGAAACATTTTTGATTGTCACGACTCAGGGGGTAGGGAGTGTTAGTGACATGTAGGGAATTGAGGGATGCTGCTAAACATCCTGCAATGCACAGGACAGCCTCCCACAGCAAAATATTATCCTGCCCACAACATCAATAGTGCTGAGGCTGCGAATCCCTGGTTTAGGCTAAATTACAGCACTGTCATGGTCTGCCTGATATCACAGGCTGTCTTCACTGACAGATTATGAGCTTTTAGGGAGCAGTCTAACATGTCCTACTCCTTGCACATAATACGTGCTCAAAAAGTGTCTGCATTTTCCTCTCTATGATGAAATTTCTTCTTCAAAATACATTCTTTATATTCTAGGCAGGTGAGAAATATTAGAAGCACAGGAATGGAATCATTAGTAAGGGGAAAGGAAATAACATTTATTGAACAATAGGTAAGTATCAAACACATTGCTCCATGATTTATGTGTATTACGTATTTAATCCTCCGGCACTCCTGTGAGATAGGTGGTATAATCATAATTGCTAACATTTATTGAACACTTAGCACATGCTGGGTAGTCTGCTAATCGCTTTATACCCATGGTGTTATTTCATCCTCACAATCTTGTGCAGTAGATACTATCATTACCCACCTTTTTACATGAAGAAACTGAGTCTCAGATAATTAATCCGTCCAAGATCATACAAGCCAAAAAGTGTCTAAATAAATATTTGGACCCAGGCAGGCAGGTCTAAGTCCAAAGACAGTACTCTTTCTTCTCAAACATTGGCATTCCTAGACATTTGAACTTTCCTGAAAGGTGAAATACCTGTTTTGGAGATAGGCCAGAGGTTGAGGTGGGAACTTCATAAGCAATTTGGAGAGAGGCTCCTCCCATATCCAGTATCCCTACTGTCCTTTTGCGTCCTGTTGCCAATTCCTGGGGAGCCTCAGCATCTGATTCTGAAATAAATAAAGGAACAGAAGGGTCCTAGTAATTAAAAACCAAAATTAAGCCAAAAAGAAAAACAAAAACACAGCAATCCCTATGTGCACTAACTGTTTAATGAGAAGCTAGTTTGTTCTGTACACCTTCATCTAATGTACTATAAAAAAATAAAATAAAAGTAGAAAGGAGCTCTGAAAAGCAGTAAACACACACACAGCAATCCCTTAAAAGATTGAAAGCAACTGAAACAAATTAATCTAACTGTATCAACTGTATATTACACAAAGGAGAACTATTTCAAGTGACTTAAAACATGGTATTTTGCATTGAATTGGCAAATGCCGTGTTATATATATTTTTATAACAATTTAAAAAAAAACATGGTATTTTGACTGTATATTTCTAGTGGGATACAGCCTAAGGACAAAACAAACAAATACCTTAAACAGCATTCCAACAGTCTCATTGCTAATAATATTATTGGTATTTTTATTAAACATACATTGTGGATTAAAGAAAATAAATGTTTATATCTTTATGAACAAAGATTCAGCATAAGAGAAAAAGGATAGAAGTATAAAATCAAAGAAATTAAACAAAAGCCTTGTCATCTTAAATATGAGTTGGAAATACCGCTATGAACTCATTATTTATTTTCCTCTTTCTAAAAAATACATATTTCCTACCTCTGTCCATGGAAAGGTCAAGAAGCAATGACAATTTAGAAGCAATGAGCACCCTGTCACCTAGACCATGCTCTCCAAATAACATTTTGCACTAAAAAACCAGGACTCATTGGAAAATGTCAGGTCTAGGGTAGAAAGCATGTAAGATGAGCATGGACTAACTTGTTGTACCAGAAAGCTAGGGAACTATAAAAGACTACTGGGATCTCCATGAACAACTGCCTTCCTTGCCATAAGACCAGAACTGGATGGTGGTAGCTATCATTACTGAAAGTTTTGATCAAAGATTCTATAGAAGAAACCTGATCAAAAGAGGGGGCAATGCAGAACAGAATTTCAAATTCTCATGGAATCCAGACTTTCTGGAGCCACTTTCTGGAGGTTGGATGAACACCCAAAACAATCGCCCTGAAATAATCTTTAAGCCTTAATCCTTAAACCAAAAATATCCCCTGTAGTGTCCTTTAAATCAAACAATAGTTTAGCTTAATTAGTAAAGAATGTCTGCCTTGAGCATTGTGCTCTTTTAAAGAACTAAATGGGATCAAATTGACAACAGCAGTTCGAAAGATTAGAAAGGAAGCTTAGGGAGCAGTGAGTTTATGTTAAAGGGGGAGGAAAAATTCAGAAAAGGAGGGTGAGAATGGTTGCACATTTGAAGAATGTAATCAGTGTCCCTGAATTGTACATGTAGAAATTGTTGAAATGGTGTATGTTCTACTGAGTATATTCTCAATAACAACATAATGAAAAGTTAAAAAGGAAGCAAATTAGGACTGGAAAATGAAGCACCTTCAGTTTTAAAAAAAGGAAAACAACTCAAAATTAGCACTTATATGCTACTGATAGGTCATGACTTAAACCTTCACCTCTTATTTAAAGAAATGTTATATTAAGAAAATACTACTCACCATCTTCATGGTCAAATCTTCCCAAAACAAAGTTGATTCCAATCCACGCATAAACCCCTAAGTAAGAATATAAAAGTCCTTGCTTAATTCTCTACAGCTAATACGATATATACACCTATCTCCAACGCTGCTCTTTTCCTCTCCTTAGAAAAAGTAATCATACTCTCAGCATATGGACTTCAAATCTTCTATCCTGTGATTTTTTTTCCTTTTTAAAATTATTTGCATTTTTTAAAATTCCTGCAATGAATAGGAATTAGTATGTAAAAACAAATGTTAAAAAATGAAAATCTTGAGGTTTGGTTCCAGGCAATATGGATAAGCACACTCCACCCTGTCTCTCCACTGAAGGCAAATATAAACTCTGGACAGAATGCACAGAGCTTTCTGAGGACTCTGAAAAGTAAATCACAGTGGGCACAACGGGAAGGAGATCAGAATGTCAAATAACACCAAAACCGTAGTGAGTTCCCCTTTTTTCCCCTCAGATATTGCCGGGCCTACGCTCAAGGCAGCTTCAAACACGAAAGTGCGCACTGGGTATGGACAGAAACAGCTTCAAGTCCTTGCTTTCTGGTCCAAGGAGCAAAAAAGGAAACTCTGAAGATTCAAAGATAGCGGAGAAAATTTCTTGCTTCTTTATGTTGTTCTCTCCCACCCTAACCCCTAGGCAATCCCACAGAAGGTGCCCAGAACTCTGAGGGTTGTGAATGCTCTCTGACCAGAGGAGCTGCAGTCCCAAGAGCATGCGGCAAATCCCTATTGCTTATTTTTTTCCTTGTGTCCTCCCACCACGTGGCCCTGGGTACAGATGCAATCGCGGGAAGTGCGTGGCAGAGTGGGCAAACTTCAGCCCCAGCTTTCTCACAAGAACACCATGAAAGTGAGCCCCAGGGAACCAGAAAGTGTTGGGGAGATCATGGAGAAGAAAGAGCTCAAGAGAGCTAACCCATAAAGTCGTGTGTGAACTCCTGGGCTTACCCATGCACGGATCTGGCCCTAAGAAGAATACCACAGGCTTTAAGACTGAACCACAGGCTAGACCACTGCCCAGGTCCCAGTTTGGTCACTGGGTAGCACACACGTGGGACAAATCCAAACAGCACTGCCAAGACTTTGAAAACAACTAATATTAGAATCACCCCACCAAAGGCGAGTCAGAACTTGAGGCCTGAGTCTAACCAGGCCAACAGCCTGCTAAAACAAACAAATATAAATCATCATTCTGCTTATGATTTAAACAAGACCCAAAGCCTCATAATGTAATATCCAAAATGTTCAGGATGCAATATAAAACTACTTGGCATATGAAGAACTAGGAAATCTGAATTCAAAGGGGAAAAAACAGTCAGCAGATGCCAACTCCAAGATGGCACAATGTTGGAATTATCAAAGATATTAAAGTAGCTATTATAACCAAGAAATACGAGCAAACACTCTTATGATAAATGGAAAAATAGAAAGTCTCAGCAAAGAAATAGAATATAAAGATGAACAAACCAAATGGAAATTTTAGGACTGAAAAATGTAATTCTGAAATTTAAAAATGTTAAGTCTTTTTTCCCTTATGAAGACTGCAACTACAAAGATACATAGGCTCTCCTTCTCTTTTCTAAGAAATTTAAATATAACTCGCTGTACACATTTGGGCCATATGAGACCACACATTCAACTCCACCCAAAAAATACAAACCACTAGTATGAGCTTTTAGGGAAGTATCAGCACTGCATAGTGAGTGCAATAAAGGGAGAGTCCATAACAAAACAAAAGTAACTCATCCTGATCATTACCTGAAATTAAAGTTTTCCCTTACTATAAACTAATAATTTGCTTTACATTTGGATTTAGCAAACTCAGTGCAACTTCTAGAACTACGTATAACTTCAAAAGTACAGTTAGTGAGTTTTTGTTTGGAGTGATGAAAAAGTTTTGGGACCAGATAGTGTTGCTGGTTACACAATATTGTGAATGTAATTAATGTCACCAAATTGTACACTTAAAAATGGTTAAAATGGCAAATTTTATGTTATGTATATTTTACCACAATAAAATATAAAAAAAAAAAAAATATATATATATATATATATCAAAAAAAAGTACAGTTAGCAAGCTGAAGATACATTTGGAATCATCATTAAACACTAACACATTCTTACAAACATAGTGTTTAGCACTAAGGTAAAAACAGATTTAAATTTATGACTTCGGAAAGCAGCATTCTAAAACAGATAACAATGTAGAATATGCAAATAATAAAACTATACAGCAGAATCAAGAAAATTATTTATAGAAAAATAAAAATCAGATATATAAATACTCTTAAGCATCCATTAGAGAGGCTATGCCGTGGTTGTCTGAGAGGTGAACCAGCGCACCCTCCCACCAGGACCAGTACCTTCCTGCTTCCCAGAGATCACTTCTGCCTGAGACTGTGAAAAGAGGAAGTCAAATTCCAGAGGTAAATCTTTCACTAGGTCAGCCAAGATGGCCAACTGCTTCCTGCAAGAAAGAACCAAAAATCCAAAAGTTAATCATTAAACTCTCTTCTCACAAGCAGCCTCAACTTGTCCTCCTACTTAGTCTTGTTATGACTTCACTGTTCACCTGTCTCGTCCACTTGCCACATCTGTTTCTTTTTGCAAACTCCTTTGATTTCAAAGGTTTAAACTGCCTCCAAAGTAACTGTCCCTCAGTATCTGCGAGGGATTGTTTCCAGGACCACCCCCTCACCATGGATACCAAAATCCTAGGATGCTCAAGTCCCTTATATAAAATGGCATAGTACATACATAAAACCTATGCACATCCTCCTGTATACCTTAAATCATCTCTAGATTACTTATAATACCTTATACAAGGTAAATGCTATATAGTTGTTAATGCTTACACTTAACAACACTTTCTCAGTCTTTGCAAGCTCAAACAAGAAGTGCTGGAGAGAGCAAGGATCTGTGAAATGGCAGGAGGCTAGAGCAGGGTATGCCTGCACATCACTTCATTCAAGTAGATTCAGCATAGTGCTTGGGCACTCAGCAAATTCAAGCTTTGCTTTTTGGAACTTTTTTTTTCCTTCCAATATTTTGAATCCGCAGATGTGGAACCCATGGATACGGAAGGCCAGCTGTGATAATCTTCCAGTAGAATGTTAGGTGTAGTTTCTAAAAAGTTCCTTGTTATACATATTAAACTCTTGTGGCAAGAATTTTACATGGGGAATGAGAGGGGCTGTTCTTCACTCCCTGCGGAACGTGCTTCTAAACTACCTACAGAGGAAGGCTTGCTGGTTTTGGCAACGGTGTAGGGAGGAACAGGCACCAAAATACATTGTTGTTTGGAATCTAAATTACTGGTATACCTTTCTAAAGGACAATCAGGTACTACGGATCCAAGTATTACATATATTTAACCTTTGACCCAGCTATTACACTTTTAGAAATTTATTCCAAGGAAATCATCAGACCAGAATACAAAAGAGGAAGAATACTGCGGTATGATTTATAACAATGAAAAACTGGAAATAACTTAAGTGTACATCAGTAGGGCTTCGTTAAATAATTTATGGTACATCCATACAACGTAATATTATGCAGATGTTAAAAGAAATGAAGTGAGTTTATATGTACATGTACTGGCATGGAAAGATATCCAATATCCTTTGTTGAGTTTTAATAGGTTACAAAACAATACATATTTATTTTAAAAAAACTTTTCATGTACTGCACAGGGATAAGATAGAACTGTTAGTTTCTAAAATTCAATACTGTTTCTTCATTTAAAAAACATTCTGTTAGGGTGATGAAAAAATTTGAAAACAGATGGTGGTGATGGTTGCACAACATGATGAATGTAATTAATGTCACTAAATTATACATGTAAAAAATGTTGAAATGGTAAATGTTTTATTACATATATACTCACCACAATAAAAAAAAATAACTGCCATTACAATAATGGCAAAATGCTGATAACTGTTGAAGCTGGGTGATGGGTAAATGGGAATTCATTACACTGTTGTCTCTTTTACATACATCTGAAATTTCCCATAATAACAAATTTTTTTTTTTTTTAAATACCACCTTGTATTACCTTTGTAATATTTTTAAGGGTTTTTCCATTACAAAATAAAAGGGAGGTAGTACAAATTCTGTTAGTCTAAGTCTTTGGCAAAGAAATAAGACCTAGTACTGATTCCAACCTAGTTTGAATATTGTTCACAAATGCTAATAAATTAGTAAAGAGCATTAATCATACAAAACAGGTTCCTGCAGTACTAGTCATACTTATGACAACAATTAGGTTGGCCTTAGAGGTAGCAATGATTTCATAAACCTAGAACAGATCCATGGAGGGTAATCAGAAAACAAAAGAGAAGAAAAGGCAAGTTTCTTAAAATTTTAAGTAAATATTTAAATTCAGAGCTTCCACTCCGACAGCAAACATCTTAGAAAAATGGAGTGGAGACACATAGTGGGTTTTGTTTGGATGGAAATTTCTTTGACAAACAGAGGCAATGCTGAGCAGTGCCAGGATATGAGGCAATCTTCTCCTTGGCTCCAGACAGACAAAATGTGGCCAGACCATCAACCAGGTTCTCCACCCAGCCCTGATGGTTGGCTCTGCCTTTTTGACCTCCAAGTCAGCTTTTTCTATCGACCTCTTCGTCTTCCTTGGTTGTAAGACTCAGGCCATTCACAGACTTTGTGATGTGGCACCACCTGTGTTACCTTTACTCTTCCTAGTGTTTCTAGAAATTTGTGAATATTACTTATGTCAAAAACAAAAAATGCTAGATTGCATGATTATAATTTCTACAATCTGTAGAAATTGCATATAGATGTACACAGAGAAGGGAATGTGACAAAATGAAAACAGTTTTGATAGGACAGTAGGAGTATAGTGGGTTTTTTCCTTGTTTGTTTTATAAGATTTCCTTTAATGATGTAAAGTTGCTATTATACCCTTTTAAAGTTTCGTTCTAAAAATAAGCAAAAACAAAACAAAATTTTGAAAAACACCAACATGTATGGGAATGTAAACAAGGGGCTAGAAGGCTCTCATGTTGACAAATGGCTATATAAAATAATCTGCTTCTCAACAGTAAACCAGACAGAACCCAGTAACTGTGTGTCTAAACAGAGTGAAAGAAGTCCATTTAAAGCACTGACATACGTTGTCTGACTTTTTGCAAGAAGCATGGAGGCCTACATGTATGGCTGAAGTTTTTGTTGTTTTCAGGACAGGAAGGCCAAGTATACAAAGTTAAACCATGGAAAAGATAACTGTTATTTACCAAGGAAAAATACTGACGCTAATAAAAAATACCTGCTGTGTTATTGGTGTTTAGAGTCTACCAATATTTCAGGGGGATGAACCCTAGAGTTAAGTGAGCCCACCTATCCTATGCCCATAATAAGTGCAGAGGGGTTGACGAAGTATCAAACGGGAGAAATCACAAACAAGGAGAGGTCTAACCTAAGTACAGCCTCCTCCTCCTCCTCCTCTTCCAGTGGAGGAAGAAGGATCAGGAGGCAAGATGCCAGGCTGAACTGCCAAGGCCAAATAAAAAAGACTTAACTGGCTGGAGCTGAGAAAACTGGTCTAAAGCAATGGAGACCGAGCTTTGCAGTAGCCTTCCAAACAGCAGCAAAGGAGAGGAACTCACCAACTATCACCAGGCACCCAGGCAAAGTTACAAAGAAAGCAATGTTTCTACCAGAGCCCTCCTACTAGTCCCTACGTACCCAATCCTTCAGGCAAACCTCCTGTAATTATGCTTCCCCTCTAGAACCAAATTTATCACCATCATCACTGATCCCAACCCTCGATAAAAATTAAGAATCACTACAGCCATCTCAGACGCTGACCCCAAAGAAGCTAATGGCATGACGGTGTGAAGGACTGACTGGTGTAATGCTTGGGTACAGGAATAGCTCTGCTCTATTTTTGATCTAGGAGTCTTTTGGTGCGACCTATCAACACCGTGTGGTAGACCCACTCCCAGCTTCAGATCAGGAAACCACAAAGGAAGATGCAGTGAATTGGCCTTTCAACTCCTGCACCATCCTTTTTCATGTGTTTCTCTGACTCTGCATATCTCACCTCTCGGGCAGAAGTCTCATGCCTGCTGTACATAGGATGTAAAGGGGGGTCTCTTTGTGCTTCTTCACAGGCACATGAGCAGCAGCAAAGCTCAGGAGAGGACGAAGGTAATCACTAGCATGTTCTGGAGTGTCTGCCATTGCAGAGATTCCTTAAGTAAAATAAAATACTTTCTTTAAAAAGCAGATCACATAGACTAAGAAGACTCATACCCTGTAAGGTTCTGCTCAAGGTCCTAAACACTTATTTACTTGAGAGGAGGGGGGCAGCAAGAAATGACATATCCCTCCCATTACCCAGAATCTCAAGAAGAAAAGGGTAGATTTCTTTCCTCCTCTTCTTTTCTTTCCTCTCTCATACCTTTAGCAGATAAAAGAGATCAACAAGAATCTGATTAATACCTGGCTTGATTTTTTTAACCACTGGTTGGCTGTTGCGGTCTCTCATCTGTTTGATGTCCAGCAAGTCATGGGGGTTCCCATTATGTCTTGGCCAGAAATAAACAAAAATCCGGGAGCCACTGCTGCCACAGTCCACAACAAGTCCATAATTCAGATTTGGATCTTCAGTGTCAGTAGCTTCCAGATCCCCTACTCGCGCCAAATACCTAAGCCGAGCAAAAAGAAATCAGCATTATTCAGCTAGGCCCATGAAAGGCCCCACCACTTAATCTACTTGTTCGTGAGTCTTTACTAAGAGCCAGCATGGGCCAGGCATATGGGAACTCATGTCCCAATGCAGGAATGAAACAATATTGACCATATTTACTGATGTATATGAGGCAACAGCTGGTTTGCTTGCCTAAAGGCCAATGAAATTAGATATCTAAAAGAATTCCCAATGTTTGTGGGGAGTTCTGAAAATGGCTGGGCTAGCAAATCTTTTACCAAGCACTAAAGAGCTGCTAGGCCCTAGGACACTAGTATTTTGTTTGGGGACCTTCTCAGATTCTCACTCCAAGGTATCTGGCTAACAGCAGGCTGATGAAACAAGTAAAGGTGTTGGTATCAAATACACCAAAGTTTGAGTCCCTTCTCCACCACTTTCTATGCTGTGTGACATTCAGCAAATTATTTAACTTCTCTCAGCCTATGTTTCCTCACCTGTAAAATAAGGATACTAATACTATCTACCCTCAGAGAGATAACATACGTAGAACAGTTAGCATAGTGCTGTGCTGCTCCTGTTACTGTTGCTGTTATTAGTATTACATGATAATTATTGGGTGAGAAAACAGTAGAAGTCTTTTGGGAGAAAAGAGCTGAAAGGTTCAGAAAGAAAGAGGTCTAGAAGTTGGTTAACTATTTTCGTGGGCTGAGGCTTTAATTAGTATTCAAGTTCCCTTAGAGCCTGAGGGTCAAAAAAGTACAAATACTGCTGACTCCTCCTCAAATGCTTCAGTGATAAACTAGAACCAAAAAAGATACCAAGACTCAGTGAGAATGACTTTTTAGCTTATTATACAGAAAAAGTAAAGCTCTTGATTAGTGATAGGAATATATACTGCATGGTAGACAGAAAAAAAAATTTGTTTTCTAAATTCTTTTAAATTTGAATAAGTACTACTATATATATTGAAGTAGTAATACGCGTCTGAATAAATCCCCTGAAAGCAATGCTGCAAACTTTTTCAAGTACCATGGCTATGTTCCCTTCCTTATACCTGCCCTACTTGTCCAACGCTATTTTTAGAGCATAACTCCTAGATCCCGAAGACCCTCACAAAGCACCCTTCAAAGCCAAGTTTCTTGAAGCCTGAGGCTTATACAATTTTGAGGGCCTTCTTTAATCCTTTTGTGAATCAATTATTTTCTGCTTTGAATTTTTTGTTGATACGATGTGATTTCATTAATATAAGCATGCTGAATCATTGAGTGTGTCTGAATTATTGGTAGTTAGTATGGATTTCTTTTTCTTACCCCCTCTCACAAGCCTATGTTAAGTGTCTAGCAGTACACATAAAGTAGTACTAATTTTATCCCAGAGTCCCCACCAGAGTCTATTGGTACATATGTATAACAAATAAAAATTTCCAAATTTCCATTTTTCCTACCAAAAATTCAGACACCTCATACAATACCCAGTAAAAACAATAACTTGCAGCACACGTCCATTTCTTTCAGTTTCAAACAGTCATAAAGGCCCCTGTCTTGCGGCAGCATGCACTATCAGTGGGGCAGCAGCTTCCCAATAAACCTTCAGAGGCAGAAAAAATACTTGGTCCCTAGAGGGACCCATGAGTGTGAAGGGTTAAAAAAGAAAAAGAATTCAAATTTACAAATACCAAAGGGATCCATGCAAATGAGGGGCGCTGAAGTGTAGGTATCATTAGCCTTAGGGCAAATCTACTTCCCATCAGAACAATAAGCCATGTGCAACCCCTGAGAACAATCTAGCCTATGTTTATTGGTGGTTTCACATCACTACACAGACCACAAAGTTCCTTACTATGGACAGAAAAGAAGCAAACTTGGTAACCAGGTATTGAAGAAAACATGTAGAAACTGTTTTGAAATTAAAAAAAAAAAAAAAAAAAAGCTGAGTAAATGGGCCTTTCCTGCTCTATAATACAAAACGCATTTTTAAAAAGGAGACAAACATACATTTAAACTTCAATATGATGCTGTACACTGCTGCATAGGGTAGAGTCAGGCAGAATTTTTTTCTGAATCTGAAATGGGAGTGAGTTGCGGGAAATGAAGCAGATGGTAAAAATCTGTACACACTAGAAAGCTGAGATTCTGCTTTACCACATACTTTCCCATTCTAATTAAATTACTGGGCTGAACCAGGCTCAGAATACACCAATCAACTGCTAGCAGCTCTCTTCTATCACATGGAAGCTGGGCAGAAGCCTGGGTTTAAGTTACGGAATTCTTGCAAATGTTGACCTGGCAAGAGGCCACAGACAAAAAAGAACTAGGCAAGCTAATCCACCCAGGCCAGTGCGACTTTTCATTACCTATCACAGCAATCTGTCTACTTCACACACTTCACAGATCTTTCTTTACTTCCCTTCCATGAAAACCATCCCCTTTACTTCTCTCTAACAAGATTCTGGATCCCATCCTCTCCTGCTCAATGAATGACTTTTCTCTAGTACACTGGCTCTCTAACCATTGAGCATCAAGGTCCTTTTATAGTCTCAAAAATTATTGGGCCCAAGGAGTTTCTGTTTACATTTAAGAGCTCGGCTGCTAACCAAAAGGTCAGTAGTTCGAATTCACCAGCCGCTCCTTGGAAACCCTAGAGGGCAGTTCTACTCTGTCCTATAGGGTCACTATGAGTTTAAATCAGCTCCACGGCAATGGGTTTGGTTTTTTGTTTGTTTGGTTGGTTTTTGGTTAGAAAATAAAACAGAAATTTAAAAACTTATTTATTAATTCATTTAGATATAACAATAAACTCACTGCATATTAACATAGTATATTTTTATTAAAAATCACTACATTTTCTAAAGCAAAAAGAATTAGTGAGAAGAGTGACATTGTTTTACAATTGTACAAATCTCTTTAGTGTCTGGAATAACAGAAGATAGGTATATTCTAATATCTGTTACCGCATGCAATCTATTAAGATATACTGTTTTGGTTAAAGTATATAAATAAAATCCAGCCTCATACAGACATGTAGTTGGAAAAGGGAGGAGTATTTGAATAGCCTTTTCAGATCATTGAGGATATTCTTCTTGGATACTACACTAAAACCTGACAAGTGGAGTTTCTCAAAGGTTAGTTGCAATCTGGAATCCAAAACCCTCTCTATGCACTTTTCATACTCTGGTACATTAAAACCTACTGGTCTATCTTGCACTTTGAATGGCTTTTACCCCTGAAAGATTCTGTGACACTGGATATTCCAACATTCTGATATTGGAAAAGATTGGCTCACTGAGTTATACAAATCTTCCTAACATTGATGTATTTCATTCTACGATAAAAAACAAAACACACACACAGACACACACACAGACACACACACACACACACACACACACACACACACACACACACACACACACTTGCTAATATCACCATCAATCTTATCAAAATTGTTTCAAATACTGGGAAGATATTAAATTCCCATGGACTGCCAAAAGAACGAACAAACCTGTCTTGGAAGAAGTACAGCCAGAACGCTCCTTAGAAGTGAGGATGGCAAGACTACATCTCACATACTTTGGACTTGTTATCAGAAGAGACCAGTCCCTAGAGAAGGACGTCATGCCTGGTAAAGTAGAGGGTCGGTGAAGAAGAGGAAGACCTTCGACGAGATGGACTGACACAGTGGCTGCAACAATAGGCTCAAACAGCAATGACTGTGAGGATGGTGTAGGGCTGGGCAGCGTTTCGTTCTGTTGTACATAGGGTCACTAGGACTCAGAACCTACTTGATGGCACCTAACAACAACATCAAACTCACAGTGGTAGATACGAGTTTTCCAAATGTCTAATTTTTGCCTGAAAGCTCAAGTTTTATCATTGGCAATAAATACTGACAGTTGTTTTCCTTGAAAGACTCACTCTGTTAATTTTCCACCAAAAAAAAAAAAAAAAATCTACAAAATACCCAAGTCTGAATACCATAGTTTGTCTGGCACCCATTCTTTCAAGAAAAATGGTGTTCCATGACAAAGGCAACTAGGTATAGCTCATAACTGAAACAACTGCCCGAGTGCCTTTCCTGGAGACAACCACCATACTTCAGTACGCAGCAGAAGTGCTTAATGCATATGTCCCATTTTGTCACATAGATTATTACAAAATATATTCTTTAACGAAACTGGACTTTTTTTTTTTTTTAACAATTGCAATTGTGTGGCAATGAAGACTACAACTACTAGTACGGTTTGGAGCCTCTATCTTGGTTTGTGCTGAGGCACTAGCAATTTTACTCACTATCTGCTTTTGCACCATCAGAGCAGATGTGAACACAGTAACAAAGGCAAATAATATTTTAGTGTTATTATGAAAATAGTTTTGACCTCACAGCCCCCCCAAAAAAATCTTGGGGATTCCCGAGGGTCACTAGACACTTTGAGAGCCACAGCTGAAATGCAAACTTCTTTTTCTCTCTAACATTCACCTGTTTCTCTACCTATTCCTTCCTCTTTGACATGCTTCCCAGTTCCTAAGAGGCCTCTATTCAACAATGCTAAGTCTTGTAGTGACACCCATCTCTTCCTTCTGATCTAAAATGTAGAGTGTCATTATTCCCTTTAAGCAGTTAGCTTATATTTCAGAATGAGCTCCTAAGACTTCTTTCATACTTGTTTGCTCCACTTTTTCATTTAGACTTTAAGTTTCTCAAGAGCTAGGACCTTATCTGCAGTGCCTCGATACTGTCAGCGTTCTTCATCTTTTTCTGCCCAAGACATGTATCAATCAATACTGACTGGTTTGGTCCTGGAGATCACAATGTGGAGCTGTTGGTTTGGTAATAACCCCTCCAAGTCTTTGTATAAAATACCAGTTGCCATCTAGTCAATTCCAACTCATAGAGACCCCATATGTTTCAGAGTAGAACTGCCCTCCATAGGGTTTCCATGGCTGTGACTTTTCAGAAGCAGATCACCAGGTCTTTCTTCCAAGGCACCTCTGGGGGAGT